GAACCATCTACAAGCTTTCTAACCATAGCTAAAGAATCAAGACTCAAGAAATTAGCATGAAAACTAAAACAAACTATTAGTAACTAAAGAATGTCTTCTTCTAGCTTTTCCAGAATTATGCACTTCAAGGTACTAACTATATAAACAACTCTCTCCTACGTGTTACGTATCACTCCCTCTGCCAGCATTTTGAACTCCTAAGCTAAGTTGCGCAAGATATTGTAGTCAACCCCGTGATACAGTAAATTTTTCTTGGAACAATTGCTTTTTCGAATACATTTTAAACTATGATACCCTAAAGCTCAGCCCTGAAATCATCAACACAATCCAAGATGCTGAGGCACTAGTCCCACCTCACCAACTATAACTCTATAAATAATAGCATGTACATCAAACCGATATCAGAAGCACAAAGAATCAAGACGAAGAAAACCATTTTTTGAACCTTTCCAAAGACACTTTAAAATTCTAACAACCCCATTTCCCCTTTTAACATTTTCCTCAAATCCAAACAACTAAAAATAAAATCAAAACTCTCTTCCTCTCCTTATCACTTCTTCACAAACAAGTCAAAAAATTCCAGTGTTAACCCCCAAAAAAATAAGAAATAAAAAAGATTTTCATAATTATAATCTAACTTAACGGTTCCAAATCTTCTCACTAACAACTTCACCAAAACAACTCAAAGACATTTCATAATAACAATAGGAATCATAAAAAATACTAAAAATCAGAGAGTTATACTTTCCTCAAACCATTAAACCATAAACATTAAAAAAAATCAATCCGAAAATTAAAAAATAAAAGAAAAAACGTTAAATTTTCTCTGGATCTTAGAGAGAGAGTGAGAGAGTGTTAGTGCTTTTACCTGAAAATTGCGGCAGAAGCTAAGAACGATTAAGCGAAGAGAAAGAGACGAATCCAGGAAGGGAGATGATGAGCCCTTAAAGAAATTTCTGAAACGAACCCGGTTTTTTATTTTATTTTTTTAAGAATCGATCTGGCAAAAGTAGGAAAATTGAAGCGATCTTCAAGATAATTGGGCTCGGAATCGCCAGTTCGAAGTCTGATCCGAATTCAAAATCTGATATCAAATCTTAGAACGAATCCGAATCAAAATTTTATAAGATCGATTTATCGATTTTTAAATTTTTTATATTATTTTAATATACATTTAATATATTTAAATAAATTTAAACATACATAATTTATTTTTTATTTATAAACATTTAAAATATTTTAAAAATTTTTATAAAAAATATATAATTCAATATTTTTTTTATTTTTTTCCTTTTAATTTAAAATCCAATTCAAATTTAACATATATGTTTAATATCAAATTTTAATTTAAATAAAATCAAATCAATTCAACGATTTTAAATTGATTTTCTTTTTTTTTTTTTAGTTTTTTTCATCTTTACTTAGGTTAGAGATTTTTATAGATTGAGATGATGACTTCTTTACTTTTAAGAGTAATTAAAAGTATTAATAATTAATAATTATTTTTAAATAAATTTTTTAATAATAAAAATCAATAGTAACATGGACATGTCTAGCTCTTCAAATTTTTTGGTCCGACCCAAGCCAGATGGAGCTCGATCCATACATCTTTGGAATAGTAGATCCAAGATAGAAATTGAAATTGGCTCGATATTTGTAAATATGGGATTAATTTTCAAAATCACAGTATTTTATTTTTTTAATTATATTTAATATATATAAATTTGTATTATAATTCAGACATGTCAAATATAATATATTTTTTGTTTTTAATAGACTTATATATGATTTTTTTTATTTTAATTTGTATCGTTTTGGTGTATTTTTTCATATAGTATTTAAAATTATTAAGTTTAATATTAATGATTATTATTATCTAAAACAAAAGTAAGGATTGTTAGTCCGACAAAATTTTTAAACTTCATAAATAAATATTATCACATATTTTATTATTTATTATATTAATGTTATAAATTTCAAAAGCTATCTTAATGAAATATGTTATAAGTAACAACGTTTAGTTTTGCTATTGGAGATTATAAATTTTAGTATCGATATATTATGAATCAGATAATTTTTTAATAAATAAATTTATAAATATAAAAAATATATATTTAAATTTTTTATAAATTTTTTATGAATGTTTATATTTTTTTTGTTCAATGAATCAAGCTTAAATTTTGTCTTTGCTCAATAAAAAAATGAAATCATAAAAGATTTTAATGAAAATCTATCTTATTGACTTGCATGAAAAAATAATATCTTTTTTTACTATTTTAAAAAATAATTTCAATTAATCAAAAACAAATATTAAAAATTTATCGCTTAAAATTTATAAAATATTTGTATTCAATAATTTTGAAATTTAAATCATAATACATGTCATTTTTTTTTCTAAATTACAACTTTTTTTGTAAAATAATATTATTAATATCTTATTAAAAATTTAAATCACCTATGCAATTTGAAATTACAAATTTTTTATTTCAAAAAAATTTAATCCACTCTTTAAATACCAAAGATGCTTTACTAAAAACCCATCTTAGTCAAGCCTAAAAACATCAAAACTTCCAACCACATGACAAAACCAACCCAAAACTCTTTCCCCCACAAAAATTTTCACCCTAAGAAGATTACAATTAGGGGTGTAAATGATATATTAGTATTCATAAGTTATTTAGATTTAATTCGAATAAAACTTGAATTCAGTTCGATTATTATTAAGTCGAGCTCGAGCTCAAGTAGCTCGACTCATCGATTAAGTCGAGTTTGAATCTTTTTATACCCTACTTGAGTAGTTCATAAGTTTATTCGAGTTTTTATATTTAAATATTTTATTATTATTTTAATTAATAAAATATCTCAAATTCAAATTAGAAATCGAGCACAAATAATCATGTTATTGTCGAGTATAAGAATTGAGCTTATTTTTACATATTAATGAGTTTAGTCAAACGAGCTTGAGTAGTTCGATTTCAATCACGAATCGAACTCGAACTAAGAAAATGAAACTCGATTGAGTTCAAACCGAGTATCAAGTCATAAATTGAGAGTCGAGCTTCTCACTGTATCAACTCGACTCGATTACACCCCTAATTACAATAACTACGTAATAGTACTAAGACTAGAAAAGCAATATAAAGCCTTTAAGCTTTATCATATCTAACAAAAAAAAAAAATTTATACTCAAATCTTTGATAAAAAGGAAAGTTGTCCTAAATATATGACTTAAATTTTTTGATACGTGGATAAACTAAATGAATATCATGTGTCCCTTATAAAAGTATAAATGTTATATTAGAACTCGTAAGTTATTCGGGTTCGATTCGAATAAAATTCGAATTCAATTTTATTATTATTGAGTCGAACTTGAACTTGAGTAACTTTACTCGATGAAACCGAATTTGAATATTTTTATACCTAACTCGAGTAACTCATGAGTCTAATCGAGTATTTATATTTAAATATATTTTTATTATTTTAATTAACAAAATATCTTAAACTCAAGCTCGATACAAATAATCAAAATTTTGTTGAATATAAAAATTGAACTTATTTTTACATGTTAATTGAGCATAATCGAGCTAGTTCGAGTAATTCAATTTCTACCTTAAGTCGAACTCGAACTAAAAAAATAAAATTTGATCGAGTTTCATCATCGAATTTCGAATCGAACTCAAACTCGAGCTTAATATTGTCTCAGCTCGAACTCGATTGATTACACCTTTAGTTCCATAAATTAATTTGTTTTACTAAATTTTATGGAGTTAATTATATCTATTTTTTAAAATATATGATAATTTTACCTATTTTGACTTTGTTTATTTTTTAAAAATATTAAATGTTAAGACAAAATCAAATTAACTTAAAATCATGCTAATTTGATCATAAAAAAATCATGTCAATTTAACATAAATATATAAATGATAAAATCTCCAATAAAAAGGCAATTCTCTTATGTGAATAATATGCTTTTCTATATTTGGATAGCTCTCATATCATTAATTATAATTCTAAATTTAAAACAAAGTTTAAAATTAAATAAATTAAAAATATTGAAGTTTATAATTTTTACCTACCATTTAAAAAAAAAAAACATAAATTATCTTATTTTATTTTTTCTTCTAGTAATTTTGTATGTGTAATGTTTTGATAATGATGGTAAAAGAATGATAGAAAGCATGAATGATAGAAAGCATGAAACTCTAATTCTATCATGTAATTTTTTAGTGTTAAATATTTCATGTCTCTTTATTTTTTTTATATAGTAGAAAAAAAAAAGAACTCTACTAATTATTTTGGAAAATAAAATTTTGTATTATGTTTAAAAATATGAATATATATCGTTGAGATTTATATTATTTATTTTATTATTCTTTGAAATTGTGATTAGAGTAAGATTATTTAACATAACTCTTATCGTATTGAACATTTTTACTTTAATTTAAATGTTTGTATTGAAATTGTTTTTTGAAAGTTTCATGTTCAATATCAGAATATTTTTCAAAAGTTTCAAATTTAACTTATAGTTTGTTATTATTGATTTGTTCTTGTTAGTTTAAATTTTCTATTATTATTATTATTTTTTATTTTTAGAGTGTAAGAAATTTTTTAAATATATTTTTTTAAAATTAAGTTTTTAAAATTTAAAATGTCATTGAGTGAAATATTGATAATCATTTATTATTTTAATAAATTTTAATATTTATTAAAATTAAATTTTTAAATAATCATTTAGAAAAAAAAATGTTGATACCTTTTTATATTTTTAAAATATCTAGCGATCGAATCCAATAACAAAATCGGTAAAAATAGAAACCGCCACGACTTTATCCTCACAAAACTTTTTTTTTTCATATGTAAGAAACAGCGACGACACAAATATTTCTCAAATGGCTAGTTTGTCGTCGCAAAATGTTTTAAGGGATAATACTTCATTTTTACAAAAAAAGTTTTATTTATTTTGCATGTGATAACAAACGGCGTCGTTTAAATAGTCATATGGTAACGGTCAAGAAATCATGTAAGAGCGAGAGTGCGAGAGACAGTCATCGGCTTCAGCCTTCTAGCAACCACGAGAATTTTCAGAGAACAAAGGAGAGAAAGCTAAGGGTAGAAATGAGATTTCACGCATCAACAATTTCTAGGGTTTCTCAATTCAAAAACAGAGCTCCACTTTCGTATCAATCCTCCTCTCAGCGTCGAAAACGGTCATTTTATTTTTTTTTTCTAAAAGAATCCGAAATTTGTTTCAAATTATTGTTTGGTTCCCTGGAAAATGCATGAAAATTGAGGTTATTATTTTTCAGGTGTAATTTTGGAATAGCATTTGATATCGACGGCGTCATTCTTCGTGGCCGTGTTCCCATTGGAGGTTCTCCACGAGCTCTGAGAAGATTGTACGGAGATTCTGGTACTATTAAAAAATTTTCTATTGATTTATTTTCATATCATGAATTTTATTTTCTCTATTTTAATTTTGTTTGGTTAATTATGAAAAGAAAAAGAGGAAAAAAAAAAGAAAATTTGTTAATCAATACTAAATTGTATTTTTAATGGATTATTTTCACAGGTGAATTGAATGTTCCATACTTGTTCTTAACTAATGGTGAGTCACTCTGAAGTGAGGCTACTTTATTACTGTTGATGGAATTGTAACGATTTTAATTGATAACAGTATTTTTTAACTTTCTATTGGAAGTTGACATCGGAATTCGTACATCCGGTGTCACGTCTATTTCGTGTCAAATATGTGTAAAACATGAAAATTTCAGTGTCATATTTGTGTCCACACGATCAAACACGGAACACCTTTTTTTTTTTTTTGTAAAACACATATATACTTTGTGCTAAAATTTTAGATGTGTCGCTTTCATATCTTTTCTTGTATCATTTATGTGTCATGTCATCTTATGGTGTTTAAATTTGGTAGGTCTAATTTGAAGAGTTGATCCTTAACTTATATATAATTATGGTATAAATTGGTGTTTTTGGTTGTTGGAAACTGTGAACTTATTTGGCATTGTTTGGGAATCCTACCACAATGCCAAATTTAACCTACGGAAGATTTTGTGTCAGAGTTGTATGAGGATTGTTATATTATCTCAATCATAAAGTGAGATGGCTGTTTGATTTGAATAGGAGGTGGCATCCCGGAAACGAAGCGAGCCAAGGAGTTAAGTGAACTTTTGGGAGTGAATATTATGTTTTCTCAGGTAAGGTTTTGGTGTTTCTATATGAGTGTAGATTTTTCCTTGTGTGATGTTCTGTGTGTTTGACAAATGATTACCATTTTCTTGTGATGCAGGTTGTACAAGGTCACTCACCTTTTAGAAATTTATTGAAGAAGTAAGTTGATATGGATCTTCATTTTGTTTTTGACTTCAACATCTCTGAGTTTAAAGTATCATTAAACTTTGCAACATATTTTGGTCTTATGTCAGCTCTTTCCTTGGATCACCTTGTTCTCTTTTAGATTTAGATTTTGATTTTTGCTAATCATCAAAGATGTTAAGGAGGAGTATTTGAATAAATTAAGCAGATGCTATACTTAGGTAATCAATAAATCAGATTGTTGTTTCGTTGGATTTATGTAAGTTCACTTTGAATTGGTAAATGATATCAACGTTTGTGTTTGGTGCTGGCTGCATAATCACTTAGCTTCTGCTGGGGAGTTGCAACGAGGATGACTTTGATTCTCTTCAATAATATCATGTGGTAAGAAAGTAGATGGATTAGAGGATCAAACTGTGGAGTGGCTAAGTTACCATAAATCTGAAGGTTTCATAGTTGTATCAGACATTATAGGCTGTTGTTCTTGATTTGATTGTAGTAAATAAGTTGGGTGAATCTCACATCAATGCTGTTTTCTGAAAGATATTCTTTAGCATGATCAGTCTAACTGAAAAGGAAGATATTTATTTAATTTCTAGAATGTGGAATCCTTTTTCTTTTGCTTCTAAATTTTTTTTGCTCTTGAATATTGACATTGTTAAGTTGTATTTAACTAACTACCCTATGTGTTATTCTAGTTGTTTCCAACTGCTGTGATCTATTTAGATGTTCTCGTGATTTAGTTAGCTGATATTTGTTTACTTTGTCTTCTCTAATTCAGATTTGAGAATGAACTCATTATTGCCACTGGAAAAGGGGACCCCACGTTGGTGATGTCTGAGTATGGTTTCAAGTAAGGGCTCAATTTAATGTTTAAGTCTGGGAATGTCCTGATTTTCATAGCATATATTTTTTGACTTTTTGGAAACCTATATAGCTAAGTTATTTTGGTGCTAGAAAAGTTGTGTCATTGGAAGAATATGCATCTTACTTTGAGAGCATTGATCCTGTATCTCAATATAAGAGATGGACAACTATGCCACTGTCAGATAGGAAGATGCCAACATTGCCAAGATGTGATGTTTCCTCAGAGAGGATTAAGGCAGTATTTGTTGTCAGTGATCCTGTAGACTGGGGCAGGGACATTCAGGTGTTTTTTTATTCTGCTTTTGAATTAGAACTGTGGTTCTATATGCATTCCCTTGAATGATGTAATTTCAATTTCTTTATTAATTCATTTTCTTGTTTGGGTTATTTTCTGTCACCATTACTTGTTCAGGTGTTCATGGTGTTCAACATGAAATCAAAACAAGCGCTGAAATTCTTGAATTGCATTTTTCTATTTACTTTTCTTTAGAGAAAGAAATCATTACAAAAATGTGAGGTAACACTTTTATTGTCATAACTTGTTTGTTGCTTGATGAAATATCCTTGTCCAAAATTTGTGAAACAGTTTCATGAAATCATTTGCTCTAAGATTTGAAAATGTTGAAGTCATGCAACAAATGGATGTGGTATTTTGAGTTTCACATTTTAGATTAGGTTATAGGTTGAACTGCATTGCTTTTTGGATATTGGGGATACATCAACATTTGGAATTTTTTTATGGGACTGGGACTGTGCTTTTGCTGAAAGTTGCAATCTAACCTAAAATTCTAATTGTGACAGTGTGAAAACTGTAGTTACTCAACATCTTATTAGATATGATCTTGTTATTCCACATTTCAAAAATTGATTAATGGATTGCATCAGGTGCTATGTGATGTTTTAAGATCTGGAGGCCTCCACAGAGAAGCAAATAGAAACCAACCCCCTTTATATTTTGCTGCTGATGATCTTGAATATCAGGTTTGTTATTGTGCTTATTTATGTATGAGAGAAATTCAAGGAATTCATCACATACATTTCATATGGACTCGGCATAGAACCACATTATGCAGATATAAAGAGAACAATTCTGAATTCAAGGGGTTCATTTTAGAACTTTTTTTTTCTTTTGCTTATAAATATCTGTTGACTTGAGAGTTTGCGATTGTGTACATAAGGCTGCTTGCTTACAGCTAGCAATTTTTGGAACCTTTATTGGTTGAAGATCATCTGCCTACGTTGTGTTCTTGGCATCAAGCATCTTGATGACTATATTCTTAACTATTTTGCAGTAGTTAGTAGAACTTCCACTTCTGTGGACTTGACTTTAAGCAAGCTTCTATTCTGAGTTATGTGGAAATAGATTTTGATCCTTTTAATATTTCTCATTTTCCCTTACCTCAAATTTGGCACTAAACTTGCTTATAACCTCATCTGCTAATTATGTAATACAGGCTGCCTTTCCTTCTAAGCGTCTTGGAATGGGTGCTTTTAGAATTGCACTGGAAAGCATCTTCAACAGGTAAGGTTAGTGTCTCATTGTATTAGATAGTTCTCATCAAATTGAGAAATCAACTTGAACTACTTCCTGGGTCGCATAGAACTAAATTGCCTTTTTTGAAAAAAAAAAAAGGGAATATTTCTCCATTATTTTGAAAAGAGAGCTCAATTTTTCTTGAATGTTTTCTATTCATTTACTACCCATGTCATGGGCATAGCAATGCATAGTTTACCTTCTGCTGTAACTCCTTTTTCATTTCAATAAACTAAGAGATCATTCTTTTTATCTGGTGAAATACTTATTGTTACTTCTATAAACAAAGTAAAAGTAGTAGATTTTCTAATAAGAAAATTTGAAGCATAATCTCTTCATCCTGCAGGGTTCTCAAAAAATCCATATGACCAAAGACTTATACAACAACAACAACACACTAAACCTTATATCCCATACTCTGGAGTCGGCTGTATAAAAAACCAAATAAGAAAATCAAGTTAGGTTGTGGTTTGAATCTTCTTGCGTCACTCATTTCTATCAACAATCACCTTTTCATCTAATTCCTTAACCATTATATCGTTTTTTATTATTTGCATCCATATCTTTCATGATCTACCTGTATATGTTTTGATCTCTCCTAGATCTAGCGACTCAATTCTCCTAACTGGTGTACAGCTAGGTCTATGTTTCACATATCCAAACCATCGCAAACAGCCTTTTCTCATCTTCTCTTCAATTCGTACTACCCCTAATTTTTCTTGAATCTCTTCATTTTTTATTTTGTCTCTTCTAGTCTTACCACACATTCATCTTCATTTCCACTATGTTTATTTTCTTCTTATGTTGTTTCTTAACAGCCCAACACTCACTTCCATATAGGATTGCATAAAATAACTTCATTTAATGAACTGTAGTGTCCTCTATTATTATAAATTTTATATCTGTCCTTGCAGAATCAATCCCAAAGGTCTGGAGTACGTATCTTATGGGAAACCAAATCCATTTGTATTCAAGAATGCTGAAGCAATATTGAACCAACTTCAGTCATCTTTGTGTCTAGATCATTCGGAGAACAATGGAGTCCCCAGATCACATCCGTTTAAAACACTTTACATGATTGGTGATAATCCTTCAGTTGATGTCAAAGGTGCACAACAGGTTTGTCTACATACTCCTTTCGGTTTTCCTCAATTGAGTTCATAAATCTTGCGCACTTGGTTATACAAAATGCATACAGTTTTACTTTTGTTTGAGCCTTGAGGATCAAAACTTCTTTACATCGTTTGATTTCCAGGCAGGCCGTCCTTGGTTTTCTATTTTGACAAGGACAGGTGTTTTCCGAACAAAAGATAATCATGCCGAATTCCCAGCAGACCTGGCAAGTTCATTATTCTACCAGATAGTGCAAAATATCCAAAAAAAAAAAAAATTGTCATACTTCTATGCTTTATCTTATTAGGTTTCACTTTTGGTTGCGCAGGTTGTTGATACGGTTGAGGAGGCAGTGGACTATATTTTGAAAAGAGAGTGTATGTCTTAGAATCAGCCCTTTTTCGAAGTGATTATTCATTTTCTCATTTGAGACATTCTTTTGACATAATGGACGCTAATGCCATGACCAAATTTAGAGGTTTTTTGAATGCCAAATATAAATTCCACCATTGTTTAGTCTTCTTTCCATTCTGCTCTACTTCTCTATTGAACGTGGTCATTGGTTCGGTATATCGATTTACACTAATTTATGAAATATTATTTATTTTAAATTATTAAATATCATAATTTTATTTTAATTTTATCTCATAAAAAATATTTTACAAATTAAAAGATAATGTGAATATTTATATTTCAACGTCGATTTTAGTGGGATTTATAATTCCCTTTACGATAATGACACATGGCCTGGCGTCATATCTGAATAGGCTGAAAATTGGCCTGCTCTGCTCTGCTTTTCTTTCCCTTTGTTTTCCCCAATTCCAATTATTCGAAAAGGCAAATCGTCTAATTATTTGACTATAGGGAAAACTGTGATGGATACACCACCTAGATTTAAAGAAAAATTACTAATAATGCTTCGAATTTGTCATTACGCCATTACCGTTATATACTTTCCTTTTTCTTTTTTTTTGAGGTCCAAAAATTATATCTTATTTTTTTTACATTTTAAAAATATTTTTTATGATTTTTTTAATTTTTGATAATAAAAATTATGAAAAATTAATTTTATAAAAAATTAAAATTTAATATTAAATACATTAAAATCAATTTTTTTAAAAATTCTATGAAAATTAATACATTACAAAAAATATGAAACAAAAGGAGTATTTTATTTTTATCAACCATCAAAATGAAAACATAAAATCATTTTCGGATATGTTTTTGACTCGATACATGTCAAAAGTTGAAATAGATGGGAGAATTAACTTATTTAAATTATATTTTCTCTCCTATAATTTCAGTGATTTAGAAAGATGCCATTCCTCAATGTTAACAATTTAAAAAAATGTATATTTAAATCTCACTTAAATGTTTTTATGAAAAAAAATCCCCCAAAAAGTTTTTTTCCGACAAAATTCCAATAAAGTTTTTTATACATTAACGAAAAGAAAATAAAATCTCATTTATAAAAAAGAAAAAATAAAAAATTATCAATTTTTTAATTCGTTCTTGAAATATCAAAACTCAATTTTTAATTGTCAATTGAAAATTATTTTTTTTAAATGCAATTTTTTTTAAAGAAAATGAAAGCAAAATTGGTAACGTTTTAGGGGTAATTTCTTCACAACACCTTATCCAAGTACAACTCTTCTCAGTTGTGCAAACTGTGCTAAACGAAGCCGATAAGCCCCTCAAACTCGCTTCCCCTCTTTTCACCATGGAAGCAACTCTCCTTTCCTTTCCTTCCTCCAAACCTCCACCTTTACAATTCCATACCCTAAAACCCAACACCCAAATTTTCCGCTATTGTAAACCCAAGTTCCCTTCTTTCAAACCATCGCCTTTCCCTTCCATCAGGGCAGCCATTTCCCGCACCAGAAAGGAAGAAACAGTTGAAACAGTGAAAACCCAATTGGAAAACTGTAATCTTTTAGCAGCTATAGAATACACAGGTTTCACTGTTAAGCAATTCCAGAATTTGCGTAGATCACTTCCAGAGTCATCCAAGTTACTTGTTGCGAAGAACACTTTGGTTTTCAAAGCCATCGAAGGGACTCCTTGGGAAGCCTTGAAACCATGCATGAAAGGCATGAATGCTTGGCTTTTTGTTCACTGTGAAGAAATCCCAGATGCTATTAAACCTTACAGGTTGTTTCAGACAGAAGAAAAGGTTGAAAATGACTTTACAGGGGCTGTTTTTGAAGGGAAGTTTTATGGGCCTGGAGAGTTTAATCTGTTGGAAAATATGCCTACCAGGGCTGAGATTTATGCCAAGCTTTTGGGAAGTTTACAGACTCCTGCAATTGGACTTGTTGGGACACTCCAGGCTCCTGCCAGGGATGTTGTTATGATTTTGAAGGCTTATGTGAAGAAGCTGGAGGAGGAGAGTGGTGGGAAATAATTGGGGCTCTTCAAGATTGCTTGCTGGAGAACGGAGATTTCTTGTATTTGTAAGTGTAATTTAACCCCCATTTTCGATTGTTGTATTTAAAGAGAGAATCATGTCAATTGTGCTAATATGTTTTTCATTTTTTTAGAATTATGTGACATTGGAATTTGAATTGGTGGTGTTGGAATCACTTTGCAAGATCAAATTTTTTATGTGATTCTTTTGAATTTTCTCATCTTCTAATCTGTAAGAGCTCTATTTATTTCAAGCTCTCATTGTTAGTGCCTAAACTTGAATTTAGCATCTGTATCTGAGGAGCATCCCAGTTATTAGAAACTAGAACTTTTAAGATAAAGGTCTGGCTCAAACTTGGAGTGGGAAAGGTGTGAGATTTAGGCTACAAGAGAGAGTTACTTGCTGTTTATGTATCTCAAACCTTCATTGGCTTCCATATGTACAGACAGAGAAAAATAAAATGGCAATCTGCATTTCTTAGTGAGTTTTGTTCCTGCTGCAAATCTTGGTTTTGTTCAAACCCGCTACTCTACGTTGCATTTCGTTAGAACTGAACTTGAATGGTAAAGCTTTAAGTTTGTTGTCTGTTCATTCTCAATCTGATTTTTTCTTTTTGTTATTTTTCGTTGTATGCATAAACGGTTTTTAAACTATAATGAAATTTTCAATGTAATCCCTCAATTTTAAAAATCTATAACGTGGTACTTAAATTATGAATCTGTTAATTAATATAGTATTTGAAAGATTGTATGTCTATTTTGCGTTATTTGAAGCTATCCATATTAATTAAGAAATTCATAGTCAAGATGTTATATTAAAAATTTTTAAAGTTAAGGAATCACATTAGACATTAACTTGTGCATAAATTAAGCTTGCTAGTTAATGGGGACTTGGATTTTTAAATGTAAAATTAAAATATCATAAATTATTTTAAATATCATAAATAAATATTATTATATCAAACATTCTTTTGTTTCATTGTGAAAATTTTAAAAAACTCAAAACCATAATGAATGAGATTATTGTTATCTTATTCATTATGTTCATAATTACGATAAGTATGATATAATCGAAAATGCATCTGCCATCACATTAAATTCCTGATCCGTTGCCGCCAAAAAAGCAAAGATAGTTAAACCCAGTTGGCATTAACTAACCTGTAGAATCAAAAACATTGAAGAAAATTGTAAACATTGGTAAATCAAAACAAGCATCAGTCCAACCAGAAGAACAAAGAAACGGATAGCATCCCAGAAGGGTGGTCTTGGAGTCTGTTTTAGTTGGAGAAATACTGATACTTGTATGTTGGCCATGCCCGTTCAAAGCAAACTAACTGCTGAGGGTAGTGGTTTCTTGCCACAATGATTCCTGAGCGGCAGCCTAAAGGTCAGCTTTGCACAAGATAATAGTGAATGGTGGTTATAAATTTAATATAGCTGTAATTATATTTGACGATTTGTGTATTTATATTGTATAAAATATTAAAATTTATGTATTCATATCGTGTTTTACATAAAAAGTACATGTCATAATTCATGTCGACATAAAAACATGAATTACATTTTTTTTTTTATTAAATCTATATATAATTATTGTTAAAATTTTAAATCATATCATATTCATGTCCTTTTTTCGTGTTATATTCATGTTATATCACTGTATTATATTTTAAATTGTCAATTCTAACTGCAACTAATTCCAAAAAAAGAGAAGGTAAGTCATTGATTTTAGCTTTTACCAGATTGAGGATGATAGACGAAGAGCAGGAAGGTCATGGTTTTTAGATTTTAGGAGATTGAGTAACAAGCTTATGTTTCATGCAATATTTATGTGCAAAAATAATTGATTCACAAAAAATGGTTCTGATAAAGAAAATCAAGGAAATTGGTGTTTTTAGTTTTTCTTCGAGTCAAGAGTGTAATCGAGTATAATATAAACAAATTTTGTTATATTTATGATATGTTCATTTAATTAATGATCTTAAAATATTGTTCGTGATCATTTATTAAGTTTAATAAATAAATAAATAAAAACATAAATAGAATCTATTCACAATTTGTTCGTTGAACGTTAATGTGCAAATTTATTCTTCTGCATTGCTTGTGAAAAGAAAAAAGTATCCAAAAACCATCTTTGCTAATATGCATGAAATGTGTGAGTCTTGCCTCATCTTTTTACATTCTGGCTTTTGATTTTGCTTACTTTTGCAACTTCTCAAAGCTAAAAGCTGTAATCAAAATCCTTTTTTCCAGAGCCTGCATGTGAATAGCTGGACCTTCTCAAAAATCACAATACCCACTGACTTTTGGAGGTTTAAATACAATTCATCAATTAGTATCCTATGGTGTTCCAGTAGGTCCAACCCTTCTCCGAATCTGGCGTATAATGGGAGCTTTATGCACCGAGCTACCTTTTACCGAATCTCACCTTTCCCGAGCTCTGAATCTTGCGCATAGCGAGAACTTTACACACCGAGCTACCATTACCCCAATCTCGCGCATTGTGAGAGTTTTACGCACCTATCTACCCTTTTTGGTGTTTCATTAGAATCATAGCTGATATTACAGATTAGTGAAAGGGATTGCCACCGCACAAAATCCACATCTCATCTTCACTGAACTTCATCATTTCTTCAATCCAACTCGAAAGTCAAACTACAGACATGTCTTGTTACAATTTGAGAAGGGAATTGCTTTAGCTATAGCTACACTACTTTACCAAATGGGAGATCTCATGTTTGAATCCCCTCACCCTTGATATTTTTAGGTAGCAGAAAGAAAAGAAACAAAATTACAACAAAATGAAGTAGTTGCCTCTCACCAGTTTAATCTTGGATAAACTAATACCATTAGTTACCTACTTATAATTATATTTTTAAAATGATCATCTAACTATTAAAATTTTTTATTTAATCACCAAAATTTGAATAAATATTTTTTTATTACCTCATCGTTAGTCTTTAATAACATGTTGATGGAACAAAACCACATTATCTTATATGTCACATGATATTATTAAAATAATATAAATTTTGAAAAATATAAAATTTATTGATGTGACAATATCACATGACATCTAACAAATAAAATATACATCATTACCACATCAGCATACCATTAGACACCAATGATTTATTATTTTTTTGCCAATAGAAAAACTACGGGTTGAGTGATAAAATTTACTCAAATTTTAGTGATTAAATTAAAAATTTTAATATTTTAATGACCATTTTAAAAATAAGAGCATGGTTGAATGACTAATGGTGTAATTTAACCTTTTAATCTTTGTCATCCAAAGTGTCCGAAGAAGTTAAAAAATGTAAAAGAACATAGAATAAAAGCATACCAGCTTGGCAAAGGGAGCAGACACCAAGAATAGAAGTATCACTTTTGAAGTGAAGTCACAAAGTATCAGATTCCTTTCAATCTTTAGATTGATTATGGTTAATGGAATCAGAACAAAAGCAACACACGACAAGAGTTAAAAGAACATAACAGCAAAACTTTAAAGCAGAAGATATTTCGCATGCATTATCTAAAAGGCCATATTAGCAAAGCAAGAAGCATCTATTAACAAAATCAGCAGGCATCTCTAAGCTAAGCATTATAGGCCTGGATCATTTTTGGTTCAGATTCTGATATACTATTTATTTACTTAGTGTTATGTGCCATTCTTGAGGTGCTTGGCAAAGATTGACTCAACAACTCCTTGAGCTATGGGGTGATAACTGTCACGAGCCTCTGCAAACACCCTTTTGGCCAAAATCTTCTGTTCCTCCTTTCCGATACCTTGTACAAGTAAAGTATAAAGTGGACGAAGGTACTTCATCCTCCCAACTTCCTTCAAAGTTTTCTCCACCTCATCATAGAAATCGCTGCACTTGGATAAAATGGCTAGTTGAAGAAAACCCACTTTTACCTCATAATCCTTCGATTCTGATAGCCTGTAGCGTGCATCCAAGGCCAAGACCTGCATGATACAAAAAATAGTATCATAAGCCAACAATTGAGAAGAGAAAAGAATATGCTGATCTGAGGTTTTCAACTATGAAAAATGTATCAAAGGAAGAGCAACAGCATAGTAGCTCGAGTGAAACACACCCACACCCACACCCCTCTCCCAACCCCCAAACCCAAAACAAGAAAGTAAAGATATACCATTTTTATGGCCTCAGTCTTATGTGATACTTTAGAAATGTCTCTCAGCTTGACAACCCAAAAGTTAGTTAGCAGAATAAAGACAATTTATAACTTGCCTAGTGCCTAGTGGCATCCAGCACCAGTTACTTCAGGCATCTCAAAAAACCTAATGATGAGCAGAGGGGTCTCATCTTTAAGTACAACCTAGAATTTAGCAGGGAAAAAAAGGTGTAGATTACATCAAAAAATTCTAAAGCCTTAACAGAAGTCTTGTGTCAGAGAAAATGGTAAAGCTTTATATTGAGCAACATAAGTGAATTCATCCTATGCAAAAGGAAAACGTTCCCTCAATGTCAGCCAAAAAATCTGAGCAACTTGACAAAGTTTCTATTGGCAGCTAATTGACATCAATATATGTTTTCACAATCTCATCATTAGGTTCGTCATTCTTAAGCTAAGAAACCCATATCAGATAAAAAAAAAAAAGAGAAAATCAACTAAAATATTTTAAACTCCACACACATTTTCAATCATTCATTAAAAAAATAAAGGAAGATGGAGCTGGTGCCATGGAACATTTGTGTAAATGCTTGACCATATGCTATCTGATGCAGAACAAAAGAAGTCTTTTCCTACTACAAAAGTTTGGCTATATCAATCATGTTGTGCTACTTAGATCTTTTCAAACCATATCCTCATTGAGCTCAATAAAAGTGTTCCTTTAGCATAGTTTTCATTCAGGGTCTTTCCAGCTTTCCTCCCTCTCTTGACCTGGTATCCTCCATTAGATCACCATGGAGGCAATTGTTAGTCTTCTCCTTACACCATGGAGGCAATTGTTAGTCTTCTCCTTACATGTCCACTTTAAGCATGTTTCTTCCTATTTGGTCCTCAATGGATGCAACCCCACCTTTAGGTGCTAACTCCTAATTTAATATTTCCTGTATGCCTACACATCTAGCATAGCATTTCATCTCAACCACAATTATTACAATTTTATCTTTATATATATATATATATATATATATATATAATGGGTTTAAGGAAGGTAGAAGATGAGAAATCAAGTAATTTTAAAACTGAAATTCCAACAAATCATTGCACAACCAAGTCATGTTAAAAAGCAGAAGAAAAAGAAGCTTTAAGAGAGAACCAAGAGTACCTGGGAAGCCTCTACAACTGTAGGCAGGTTCTCTAAGTAGAGCTCCCATTCCTGTCCTTTCCAATCAGTAACTTCATCCTCCCTCGGCATCCTCCCAAGTTCAAATTCATTTGCCAGTGACACAATTTTGGTATATAGATTGGATATCGGTTCATATGCGTCTGGAGGGATACCAACACCCTCAGTCCACAACACCAGGTCTATCTCTTTCTCTATTCCAGGGACATTTGCTTTAAGGAAGTCAAGAAATGTCTCAGTGTCAATTGATTTGAACTTGAAGGTGGCAATATATTTCTTGATAAATTCATCAAAGGCCGGTCTTCCTATCTAAGCATTCCAGAAAAAAAACACATAATGATGTGCTAACATTGTTTACAAACAACATAAAAACTGGAAAGGAAAAAACATTCAACATACCTGACGTTCAATGCGCCACAAGAACTGAAAACCTTTCTCATATGGAACTTGGGAATAAACAGCATCTGGGTCCACTCCTTCCTGATTGGTTTTAAGCTTGGTGAATTCCAGGTTGTCCTTAAATCTCTCCATTGCCTCATTTAAGGCCCTCCAACCAATCCCAATACTCAACACAGCTCTGTCTTCACCCTGCACAACCTCAACAATTCTCCTCTCTGCATATCTTGTAAATCCCTATAACCAAAAAGAAAATAAGGTAAAATCACTTTAACCTAACTTGCAAATATCACAAAATATCACAGACAAGAACAATCTCTGCTTAATGAACCAAAAACATTTGTTGGTCAATAAAACACAAAATTCATTCTTTACAGCGTGCACCAATGCATGCCATATATCAGAGGTATGAGAAAGTAACAAATATACAAAAGCACTATCCATCAACAAAGCTTTTTATTTTGTAAATAGGATGAGTGGTGATCTAATCATATAATTGACAGAAAAACGTTTGAGTGGAAGTTGCAGTCTTGAAAGCAAGCAACAAGCAAAAGCAAAAGAGCTTGAGTTGAGAAGTCCATAGGCAGCCTGTAATAGAAATAGAATAGTAGCTAGGGGCCTTTCAGTTTTCCCACTACCTTCTTTGATGTATCCATAGCCAGTTTCCTGTGATACAGAGTTCGTTGCCAGGCCAGTGACACCATTAAAAAGATTAAAAAGCAGGGCAAGAAAATGAGTTTGAATAAAGTTCGCTCTCTTTTTTGCTAAGCCAGTACCAGTGCCTTCAAAATCAAGAAACTCATCAGCGTTTCCATTTTCCAATAGCAACAACAACAAACAAAGTCTATTAACACAGAGTCAGATCCATCATATGGATCATATTGCATTGCTATGGCCTACTAGATCCTCACTAAGATCGGTAAACAAAAGATCCTTTTTTCTTGTTCTAGTTTCAATCACTTAATTCAAAGCTTCCCTATGCAATCATTTCGGAAAAGCACAAAAACAACATTTCAAAGTTACCCAAATAAATCAAATACCTAACAGCAACAACAACAATACGCGGGTTCCACTGTATGATAGGCCGAAAAGGGAATTATGTTAGGTCATAGTTTAAATAAATCAAACACCTAAAAAAAAAAAAAACCACCATATTACCTCATTCAACCAAAAATGCTCATTGTTCTTGTTAGTAATCAAGTTCCCGGTCCAACTATGCGCGAGCTCATGCGCCACCACCTGAGCGCCACTGGCATCCCCTTTGATCACAGTTGGTGTCAGAAACACCATCCTCGGATTCTCCATTCCACCATAAGGAAAACTCGGCGGCAAAACAAGCAAATCAAACCTCTCCCATTCATAATCACCAAACAAGGTCTCCCCTTGCCTTATCATCTCCTCCGTTCCTGCGAACTCCTTTGCTGCAGCTTCCAAAACCCCATCCACAGCCTCCGCATAGACCCTAGTTCTCGGCCCCACTTCCCTAAACCCTAACTCCCCCACTGCAAACGCAAACAGATAAGGCGGAATCGGCTGGTTCATGTCAAATTCCTCAACGACCCTCGTTTCAGAACACCATAAAGAATCGAACCCATTGGGTAACAAGTTGGAATACCCTTCACCGGAAACCGGTGACCGCCTATCCACGTAGCGGGCGGACATAACGGCGGATAATTCTCGAGGAATGTTGAGTAAAGCAGAGTAACGGACTCGGGCGGCGGGGGTGTCTTGGCAAGGGAAGATTGAGCGCGCGTGAATGGATTGGCATTGAGTGTAAACAAAAGGGTGTTGTTTGTTAAACGTTTGCGGCGGAGAGAGCCATTGGAGGGCGGACGAGGAAGGGGAAGTGGAGAAAGTGACGAGAAAAGAAGACGGGGTTTTGTCGTTTGGGAGGGAAAGGGAAAGGTGGGTTCCTTTGATTGGGTCAGGGGAAGGGGAAAGAGAGAAAGGGAGAGGTGAAAGTGTGGAAGGGGAGAGGATTTGGTGGATTGAAATGGAGCGGGTGTCGAGGGAAAGTGGACCGGAGTGAGGTGAGGAGAGGGTGAAAAGAGCAGCGCCGTGAATGGTAGCGGAAGGGAAGTGGAAGTAGAGGGAGAGGGAGATGTGGGTGGTTAAAGGGTGGGTCGAGTCGGTGAAGGAGTGAGGGTCTAAGGGTGCCATTGGAAGGAAAGAAGAGGAACTGAAATGAGGAGGTACTTCGATGGAGAGGATTTTGGTGTCTTCATTTTATAAATGGAGGGAGAATCAAAAATAAATAAATAAAAAAAATATATATATATATATATATATACATATTTTAACCAAAATGTAATTAACTTTGACAAGAATAATTCTTCTCAATGTAAAAGTTTTAGATTTAATAATAATAAAATTTCAGGAATAGAATGGTTTTGGATTCTGTTTAGATACAATATATTTTATATTACTTGAAATTTTTTGTATTTAAATTTTTTTTTAGATCTTTAAATTAAAATTATTAAAATTTAAAATATTATTTTAATTTAAATGAGTTATAAATTTAATTTTGATTTAAGAGTAAAAAATATAAAAACTACATTAATATAATTTTTTTAATTTTTATATATAAAAAATAAATTTTTTTATTAAAACAAAATTTATGACAATAAAAAAAATATTTAATCAAACATGTATAGAAAGGATGATTCCTATATCTATTACTAAAAACCGTTCGGTTTGTCAATAAATTAAAAAAAATAATAAAACGTGTGTTTATTATTACAAATTCATCATTGGAGTATAACAAATCACATGTTATTATTTTTTTATAAAAAAATCATAATTTATAAATAAGGTAAGAAATCATAAATGTTGAATTTAAATTTAAAACTTGATGAATGTTATCATTTCATGAATTATAAATCTTAATTCATGTTATTTTTTTTTTATGGCAAGGTTAACAATTTGCTAAGACCCAAAGGGCACAATTGCAAAAAGACAAAAAAGCATAACCTGGCTTGAAAATGTGTGTCAGTGTATGTTTGGTTTGATTCCCTTCTCTCTATTTCTCTTGTTGTTTAGTCATTAGTCTGAGAATCTGAGGTAAGAAACAGAGGAGGAAATAAAAAAGTAAGTTCATATGGGTTGTTTCCCTCGTGGTGGAAAATCAAACAAAAAGGCAAAGAAGAAGCTGCATACCAATAATATCAAGAACACCACCAAGTCCTCTGATGATCAGATCCCATCTACTTCAGGTTCTTATTACTATTTCAAAACCCTCTTTTAAGTTTTGATTTTTTTTATGTACCCCAGAAAATATTTTATCTTTTTTTTTAAATTAAGTGAATTTCCATTTATTTTGGCTGAAAATTGATTAGTGTTAGACCCATTTGATTAATTGTTTGAATTTTTTAGTTTTTTTGGGTTTTCAATGTGATCTGATGTAGGATTTAGAAAAAAAAAAAAGATGTTAGTAATCTTTTTTTATTTTTTGATTATTTGTTAGAAATGCCAACTTTGGTTTGTTTTGAAATTATAAGAAGCTGTGAAAATGATGAGAATTTTGGATTTTTTGAGTCCACAAAGATGAAAATTCAATGGGTATTTATAATTCTAATTTTTATTTATTCGGATTAATCATATATTTATACAGATTTGGAACCTCAGTTGCTAGCTTGAGTGTGCAATTCAACTAATTTATTTGCTAAAAATTTAAAGTCTTTCTTTTTAACCTTACTGTTAATAGTAGTAGAAATAGGGAATTGCTAAAAATTTAAAGTCTTTCTCTTTAACCTGAGTGTTAATAGTAGTAGAAATAAAGAATCATGGATTGATACATTTGTAATTTCTCTCAGTCATATTCTCTTTTTATTTTCTATGATAAAAGGATATAGAAGCTTGAGCCTTGATTTTGTGGTTTTCATGTAGCAATTGTTGTGATGAGAAAGATAATAAAACCTGTCTTTGGCTTTTGCTGCTGTGGTAGTGCTACATGTTTTTGAATCTGATTTCAACCGTATTATATAAAATTTGTTTTTCCTGTCATGGTAGATAAGCTGAAGGTGAATCATGTACCAGATGCTAAGAAGGAGGCTACCAAGGATGGAGGGTCTGATCGCATTGCGGCACACACCTTTACTTTCCGTGAATTGGCAGCAGCAACAAAGAATTTCAGGGCAGATTGCCTTCTGGGTGAGGGAGGTTTTGGCCGAGTGTATAAAGGGCGATTGGAAAGCACTAATCAAGTATGTGTTACCTTACTGTTTTTGCTTTTTATTAGCATTTTTAACTGTTTATTTTGAAATTCAGCATTTCGTTCTGTTATGTATGCTTTAACTCCTTGAAATATTCAAGGCCTGACTTTGACCTAAAATTATTTAGAATGGTTGAATTCGAAAAAATCTTTAGATTTTTTTTAAATTTAATTTACTTTGGTGAAGAATAGTCAAATCCAAATGTTAGTGGTTTCCCCTGAAGTTTCTGTTAGAGCCATTTGCAGTTTAATATTCACTGCAACATCTCATCATCACTTCCCCCTTCCGTCCTCTTTCTCTCAAACTTATGTAATGTAAATATGCCAAAAAAAGAATGTTTAACGATTCTTAAATTTAAGTTGTGTGGATGATATTGGATTCTTGAAGTTGTTACCAGCATTTTGGGTTGTGATAGACTGACACGAAACTATTGGTAGAACTTAGTGTATATGTGGGTGATGTAACAACCCATTAAGTCTCGTTGAGATTGGTGGTGTTTTCCCTGGGATATAAGCTCTCTGTTGCATATTATGAACATAGATGGATCTCTTAGAATTATTTTAGATGTTTTAGGGGCCCTTTGATGCATTATCAAGTATATGCTCAGAGATTTAACAGTCTCCAGGTCCATCTTCAGCCCTTTTCTGTAACTTTTATTTATTAAACTAGAATCAGCACCGTCATCTTTCTTGTCACCAACGCAACAGCTTACCATTTGAAAAATGCATTTTGGGGGGTAAATAATCAGATGCCTATTTCAGAAGTGTTAATGGAATAGGAACTAGAGAGATTGAAAGAAATACAAAATCCTTAGGTCATCAGTATATTGCATTTCACTCCGTTTTCTTTCCCTTTTTTGCTGAAGAGCATAAACTTAGCTGTAAGACAGTGTACTTCTCTCCATTGATCTTATACGCCTTTAGTTGATGATAGAAATCCAAATTTTGGTTGTTTTGTTCTGCTCATCTAAAATATGATAAGGTTGGCTTGTGGAATTTCATTCTTCATGAATATTTTTAGTTTTGGAAATATATGTCCCTTTAACCGTACATAACTTCTGGTTGACCTTAACCTTGTCACCTGTTTTGCTAGGTTGTCGCAATCAAGCAGCTTGATCGTAATGGACTGCAAGGGAACAGGGAATTCCTTGTCGAAGTATTGATGTTGAGCCTGCTTCACCACCCTAATCTTGTCAACTTAATTGGATATTGTGCTGATGGAGATCAGAGACTGTTGGTTTACGAATACATGCCATTAGGATCTTTGGAAGATCATCTACATGGTATGTACAGCAATGCTTGTCTCTATTGTCATGTCCGGAATCTTGGTTTCTGTCACACCATTGAATGTCATTCACCAATTATCGTGCTTAATACTAAATTTTTACATTTCTGGTGTTAGATTTATTTCTGTTTGCTTAGTCTGTTCTTGCAATTGTTTTCATTACCTTGTCATGTGTCATCTTTTAAAACAGATCGCCTATTATTTTTCTTATGTGCTTTTATATTCCAGACTTACCTCCCGACAAAAGACGACTTGATTGGAATACAAGAATGAAAATAGCTGCAGGTGCTGCAAAAGGTTTGGAGTACTTGCATGACAGAGCTAGCCCACCTGTCATATATCGTGATTTAAAATGCTCGAACATATTGCTTGGTGAAGGCTATCATCCTAAGCTATCTGATTTTGGCTTGGCCAAATTGGGTCCTGTTGGGGATAAGACTCATGTATCCACTAGAGTGATGGGGACGTATGGATATTGTGCACCAGAATATGCAATGACCGGTCAGCTTACGTTGAAATCGGATGTTTATAGTTTTGGGGTTGTTCTGCTTGAAATCATTACTGGAAGGAAGGCTATCGACAACTCAAGAGCTGGTGGTGAACAGAATCTGGTTGCCTGGGTAAGATAGCCATGACTTCTCTTGTTTTTACTGTATTGCTGACAAATCAAAGACACTATGTTGCTGTGGCTTGTGTTAAAAGACGAAACATGACAATTCATCTGTTTTAATCATATCTCTTATATTTTTGCATGAACATGCTGTAATAGAATCTCGATTTCCTAACAAACCCCTATAGTCTGTTCGATTGTTTAAAATCAAACTTGTGTTGAATAAGTACAAAGGTGACGGAAAGATTAGTCCTTAAATGGTTAATAGTTGCTTGGAACAAGTTACTTGTTAGTTATGAGTATTATTTGATCATCGTGTCTCAATGACATCCATATTAGTGGCTACCACGAGAAAAAGGGACTTTAGGATAGAATCATTCAAATGAAGAAAGTAAAACTAGAAAGAAGAATTGCATAAATTTTTTTTTGGTACAAAGGAGGTCGTAACCTAAGGATAGGAAGAAAGGATTACAGGTGCTGGGATTCGAACTCCAGACCTATTAAATGCCACCTCTTAAGGGTGGTTATATGAACCAACTGAGCTAAACTCCAGATTTTAATTGCATAAATCTTTTGCTTTTGTTTAACAGGCTCGTCCCTTGTTTAAAGATAGAAGGAAATTTGCGCAAATGGCTGACCCATTACTTCAGGGACAATATCCGGATAGGGGTTTGTACCAAGCTCTAGCTGTGGCTGCAATGTGTGTTCAGGAACAGCCTAACATGAGGCCACTTATAGCTGATGTAGTCACTGCCCTCACCTATCTTGCTTCTCAAAAGTATGATCCTGAAGCTCAGTCAGTTCAAGGATCGCGTACAGGTTCTTCTACTCCGAGAATGAGAAGGGAATAGTGCAGCTAAGGGGAATCAAGCATTACTCATATGAGAGAATTGAATCTCGTGGCAGCCTATGACTGAGATTAAGAAACAAGAGGTTTATATGTTTCAGATTTACAATTCTCCGGCCCGGAGTTTATTGCCGTGCTGCCATGGCCAGTGTGATGCAACAGGAGTTTTCCCTTCTTTTTTTTCCTTGAAACCCTTTTGGCGTCTCGCCTTTTCTCTTCTTATTGTCCTTTTTTTTTTTTTAGTTTGTTTGCAATTGAGCTTGAAGCTTTGTATTTAAAATGTCATTGATATAGAAACTGGTGTCCCCTTGAAGATCATACACATCTGCTTGTCAAAATTTTTTTCTATATTCCTCCATTCCCAGTGATATTGCTAGCAATTCTGGATTATATAGCTCTTTATCTTGTTGCCAGCTTTTCCTTAAATAAAGCTATAAATGAGGCATGTTTGTAAATTTTTTGGTCAAAAACATTTGATTTGTTTTACAACCATGACTGTCACTTGCTCTGGGTTTTTTATAGGAAACTCGTTATGGCCCTCCTCAATTTGCAGTGAAGAAGAGAATTAAATTCAAACTTTATAATACTTGAGTGACTCTCTGAGATTTACTGAGCTTTTAAAATTTTTAATATCATAAACAAATAAATATAATATAATATTTATCTAAATATTTTAAATTTATTTTATTTTTATTCTGACATCAAGCTCGAATTCAAGTTGAGTTTCGATTTCTTAATAATAATAAATTAATAATAATTGAGCCTAATTGAGTTTAACTCAAGCAACTTAGATGTTTCTTGAAAAATTGTATTCTCAAACATCACATGATAATCTATACAAATAAAAAATTCAAATACGACATGATTTAAAATTTTAATAAAAATCATGACAATTTAAAATTATAAAAAAAATTATAAATAAATTTAACAAAATTAAAAAACATATTTTATATTTTTATGTTGATATAAACTGTGAAATGTAATTTTGGTATAAAATATTATATGAATATATAAATTATCAATATTTTATATGATAAAAATATACGAATTATCAAGTTTAGTTTTATCAAGTTTAGTTTGAACCCATTTGAGGGCAAAAAAATAAAAATGAAATAAAATTTGACGAAACTTGTATCTCAAGTTTTTTAATCAAGCCAAACTCAAACATAACACTATATTAACTAACTCGATTACACCCCTAGGCACGCCATTAGTTCAACTAAAATTTGTCTGAGAAAATAACACCAACAATTTCATTTTCAATCTTCAACCTAGGACCCCTTTTGTATAAAAAAAAATCAGTACAGAAATATAATATTGATAGCCCTCAAATATCCAAAAAAATTGAAATATCTATCAAAGAAGCAAACATTAAAACCCCATGTATACTTACAGGTGATTCCCTATTCTTAACTCTTGTTCTTGCATTCTCTTCCCCTTGTACAAACTAGTATTATTAGTATCTAATAACCGAACGAAAAGAAATCAAAATGAGTATTATGTTCGTTTTCCAGTTAAAAAATACAGACAAGCAAGCTACTACCCTCCTGAAAATGTTAAATAAAAATTATCTACCATGGCCGATGAATGGAAGAATTGGAGGCAGCAAAAGAAGGATATGTATGCAGGTATTAACAAGACAAACCGGGAATTTTCACTCCTTATCTTGAACTTCCACGCCATTTGTGTCCTTGTCGTTCGTGTCCTTGCCATTTGTTTCCTTAGCATTTGTGTCTTTCTGCAGGATTTCGGTATTCTGACCCTCATTAGAGGGCTTCCCACCATTTGGCACATCAGCATTATTGGGCTTTCCCTGTTTTGTTCAATAAATCTTATCAACAATCTTGGTTTAATACATTATGATAGAATATTGTTACAAAAAAAAAAGACATCTCTCTTGATTCCTCATTTCTTTGTTGTTCCAATTGTTAAGCCAGGCCAACAGTTTAATCAAGCAGAGCAATCGTCTGATCATCCCACAACTTATATGAAAGTAAATGTGTGAAAACAAACCTTGATTCTGTCACGCCAGCCAAGTCCAAATGGTCGAGAAAGTAAACTAATCTTTCGGGTGGGGATTTCTTGTTGGGGCTCTTGATTGCTGCATGCTGGTGTATCTGGATGTGAAGATCTGCAAGCTTATATTTATTAGAAGGGAGAAACCAATCCAGAAGCACGAGGAGCACAAAAAGAAAATAGAGGCTCATAATATCTTTGCAGAGAGATAACTGAAGATTAAAGCATTTTTTCCATTCTTTGTTAAGTATTGGTGGGAAGAAAGCAGATAATAAAAAGCGAAACTATAAATAAGTATCGAAAAGAACATAGCTTTTGGATGTCACTGAAAGAAATAGAAAAGACTAAAATCATAGAAAAACAACAATTTATTGAGTCGGCCCTGAACCCCCACCTCCCAACATATATACACACCCAACACAAAACTAAAAATTTCTCACCCAAGCAAAAAAAAAAAATTGAAATTGGCAAAAGGCTGACTACACACCGTGGAGAAGGTTGGGCTTTACTTTGTCCAGACTGGTACTGTAAGGTAGCTTCCAACATGGATTCTGCCATTACCACTCTTTTCTTCATTTCAGCAAGTGAAGCAATGGTCTCTTCGTACTTTTCCTGCATTAACATAAAAGTTACAGCCAAGAGCAGAAATGCAACCAAATAAATAAAGATATAAGAACTCAAAACAATGTTAGTTCCCTCAGTAAGGTATATATGAGGGGAAATATTTATGCGGAAATGGAAACAAGCATGTTCTTGCAAATTTCCTAGGCTAGAGTACATTGACTAACATTTTTCTAAGTCCCAGTGTTTGGTTAGTAACAGCTTGATAGGTGCCTAAAATATTTTTCAGTTTGAAGATGAACTAAACATGTTGGTTCCCTGCCTGCAGTAGTTTGAAAAAGATGATTTTTTTTCGGTGATAAGTGATAAAAAGACCTATTGTTTTCAAACCATTATCATAAAGCCAAATCAATGTTATCATTAATTTCCACTCAATATCCAAGGGAAAAATTGCTGCCAGCAAATATTTACTAATGAAAGTTGCATGGCAAAACAAGGGCTTTGAGCACAATGAGTACCTGAAGCACTTGAGCAGCATATCTTTGTGCAGCTGCATCTTGTTCAGCAAATCTGCGAGCATCTTCTGTCACCCTTTGTTCTTGCTCCACCCGCATTAAGACCTATGAAATGTGCAACAAATTTCATAATCATCAAGACATTTTAACAAGAGAAGACAATCTTCCACTAATTGAATGAGGAAAATAAATCAAACCTGAAGCATTGCATTTTCTTGTTCTTGCTTCTCAGAAAGTGCTTTACGAAGCTCAGCAACTTCTTGCTCTAGTTGCTCCACCTAAAGATCAGAAACAGATGCTAAGTATGCAATATATTCCCTTGAAGAAAACACCTAGCAACTTTCAAGTCAGGGAAACACCAAACTCAAATAAAATCTCTCTAGTGTCTGTCACTGATTCAGGCAAGAGCCATTACAACCAGAAACACAGGTTTTTTGCAAGTTCTGGTAACCGTAGAAACATTAATCAAATTGTATACCCTGTAGTAGCTAGAGATAAAATGAACATTGAGAATCCAACATAAAGTTCCATGTAGAAGCACAAGGTGCCAGGTAAAAGCAAGCAAAATAAGTTGCATGCATGGAAATGACTTCTAGTTTAATAATGATCCCAGGAACAAGTTAGACAATTGACTGTAAAATTTAGGCAGGGAAAAATAGCAAAAATTGCAAGAACAAATGTCAAAGGAACTGCCACTAATGAAGATATTCCAGTTTACCCTAGCACTTAATTGGCGCCGGTTATCCAGCTTAACCATCTCCATCAAAGCTGTCTCCAGCTCCTCAGATCTGATACAAATGAGAAAGAACCAAGATTGCCAGTGTCACATTAATCAGTGGTTCTTTTGGCAAAAGAAAAAGGATTATTTTAAAACAAAAAACAGACTAATTCCAGCATAAAATGCAAAGATTAAGTAGTTAGATAAATCCAATAACTAATTACAGCATAAAATATAAAGATTAATTAGTTAGATAAATCCAAAATGCAAACCACTGTAACGTAGCTAAGATATGCCCATGTATAAAAGCAAGAAAGTAACAGATCTGCAACCAACAAAATAAATTGCACCGCCTCTACTAAGCAGTCTATAGCAAATTGAGGGTTGCAAAACTTGAAAACCATAGAGATAAAATAAATTACTAACCTGAGGACAGCTGATCTTTTCTCTTCCAGCAACCTGCACAACTCAACCTTTAACCATACAACCTGCACATGATTGTTAATAAGAAATTAAGACTATGAGAACATCATAAAACAGGCCAACAAAGTCTCATGCATGAACCAAGATCATCCACTGATAGACAAAATACAACATTAAACAATGAACTATCGTATTCATGAAACGGGAAAATATATATGCTACCTGCTCTTGAAGATCAGGAACAGCATCAAACTCAGCATCTCCTGTCAGACTAAGAAGAACTTCATCCGCATTTGTGGAACCAGACTCGGAACGAGAGAGATCCCCATTTGTTTTTGAATCAACCAGTCGTCCTGTCTTATTTGTTTCCACAAGCATCGACTTAGGATCACGCTTAAAACTATATAGCTTAGATGCCAGGCCCTGAGAATCCCTCCAAGCTTGAAGCCCCTTTGATCTTTCCTCAACAGCAACTATTACAGCTGACCGATGCTTCCCTCTTAACTCATGTAATCTTTTTTCATTTACATTTTGATAACCCATACAAGCTGTCAATACAAGTTGACTGCTGTCAAATGTTGAGCCAGCCAATGATTGTAGCAAAGTAACTGCATCTCCCGCATCCTTAGTTGTAACTAATGCAGGGCCTGTAAGAAAATTAAGTTGCATTTTGTAGATTAAAAAGTTCATTGGTCACTGTGTACACGCTTCATGTTCCCTAAAGATATCATAAATTTCAAAACATTCATGTCTTTTACCCCATACCATAGAACTCCATTAAAGCAAGTGCTGTCCTAAAAAGCATGACTCGATTTCCTTCAAACAGGAGCACATCCCAGACTCGAAGCACTGTCATGAGGAGAAATCCATCAGGAAGCTTCTAACTAAGCAATGGTTATTCCAATTATTAAAGGAGAATGCAACATTAGTATACTAGCAACAAAGGCATCAACTGCAGGAGAAACATTCAAATAGTGCAATAAGTAGCGCAACTAGTTAAACATTGCTAAAAGACACAGCATGAAACCTGACCACTTTCCCATGGAAGCATGTTCATAAAAATGGATAGGAACCATGGTCCAGTAACCCATGCCACTTGCACTCCCAGGTAATCTAGATGATTGACTGCAATAAACATAAAAATATCAATCATAAACTGTCTGCCCAAAAAATGCAACGGAAAGAGAACATCTGGGAAAATTCAAACACAAAAGGAACAAATATTGCAAAAACAAACCCAGTTTGGGAAATCTCTCACGCACCAATTCCTCAAAAACAAGTTGATCAACCTAACAAAAGGCCACAAATTACCAGGATAGTTATCTAAAGCACAATTATTCCATCAACCACTTTAACATTCTCGTTTAGGAGAAAGCAGACGGTAGAAATCAACTAACAAGAAGAAAAAGAGTTATGCAAAATATTACCTGAGACTCAACCATTTCCTCTGAGTAATAGCCATCAAAATAGTCATCAATAATGCCCATCAAAGCCCTGAAATGTATACCACAACTTAGAAGAATATAAAGCCAATAGCGCACTTACTTTTAAAAATTAAATGTTATGGTTGCCATTAAAAATAGAGAATCCCATCAAATAAAAAAGGAAAAAAACATGCAAATCATGTGCATAACAGAAAGTAATCATGTTCCACTAACAAAATATGCTCTGATCTGTAACCCTGGAAAATGAATTTCAGAGATAGAACAAGGACTACTGGATTTGCAAGGAATTTTCTCAATTGAGTCTCCAAACCTACCAGAAGGCATTTTCTTCAGGCATCAAGAGAAGTAACAAGGCCGCAAAGAAATTCATGGCCTGCATGAGAAAAACACTTATCCCAAAAAGCCAAAACACAGCAAACATGGCGATAGCTAACATATTTCTGAACCTAATACCTGACAGTACCCAACAGAGGGGTTATGTCGAGCATAGGCTGTAAGCAACCGTCTCAAAGCTTTTCTACCATCATCATCCAGTGCAGGGTGACCTGGGAATGTTCGGGGCAAATCCTGTTTTTAGAACCACTAATCAGTTAGGAAACTCAAACTAATAACACCAAACAAAAAGGTAGCACCAGCTGCTGAAGAAACTAAATACATTCAGAAAACAGCACGTGGAACAACCTTCTCAATCTGTCCCTTCCATTTCTCGGGCCCACATATGGACTCTGTGGTTGAACCCTTACAATTTGACTGGAAGCTCTGTTGTTCGGAGTTGTTGCCTGATTTAATTTCATTAGCAAGCAGATCCTGGTAATAATTCTCCACTCGGCGTGTCCTCACACCAACAAAGGCTTGCCAAAGCTGTAATGACCAAGCTCATGAGGGAGAGAGAATATGGAAATCAAGAAAGAATGACAGAACATCCAATAAAATACCTCTCCCCTAAGAGCCATTGGCACTCCACCACGAACAAGAACTTCCAACTCTTCCTTCCAGGGAAATAAAGATTCTGTAGGAGCTGCATCTGCAGCAACAGCACCTATTGTGGTACTTGCTCTGTCACTAGTAGGGGCATCCGGAACTGGGTCAGATCTCTCTGCATCATAAAATTCATCCTCAGAATCCTCCTCTGATGCTCCCTTTGGGAATCTGGCATCTTCAGTAGGAGCTAACAGATTCCCTTGACCAGTTTCTTGATCATCTTTATATAAACTGCCTTTCTTCTTTACACGAATGCTCATCATATCTTCAATGGCCCGAAGGGATGGTCTAATTTCAGTCCATATTTGGGTTGGATGAACTCTTTTCCCTGGTGCAGACTGTACCTTCTCTTTTTCTGTTTCATTCTCAGACATGCTATCAGAACCAGACCTCTTTTCACATAAATCATCTCCTTCAGCTCCCTTCTGCAATTCATTGTTCCCATCCTCTGCAGCTTCGACGTATGTGGGCTCTTTTCCATTCTCTGAAGTTATCCCATTGAAAGACAATTGAGCAGACTCTGCTTGACGTTCCAAGAAATCATTCCACCTATCTGATCTTTCCTCCTCTTCTTCCTAAAGTCATGGGTATACACAGGATATAAACCTTTTATCCATCTAAGTTGAAATTATTTCCTTTGATCTCCATTCAGATGCCCAGAAATTAGTCAAGGAAACTAAAGTAAAGTTCTGACTTATAGAGCTTGATATCATTCAGGACCCTTAACAATGTGGAAGGCAAAGAGGTTGGGAAAGAAAAAGAGAAGAAGGATTAAAGGAAATACGTTAATTGTTAAGTCTTAACAAAATTTATTTGCCTGAGAATAACTCTGTGACACATTATTACCGATTTCTGTACTGAGAGAGTGAGGCACATCATTCAATATTCACCATGATATATTAGTTGGCATTTAATTATCCTTTTTCTTTTTACTCGGCAGCCAAAAGAAGGTGATGAGCTTAAAATAAAAGCAATAAAAGCAGAAATAGTGTCTACAAGAAATACCTTGTAGATATTAGCATATTCTCGATATCTTTGCACATGCTGAGGTCTCACCGCAAATCCATACGCATCCCTGTCAAAAATAAATGCTTTATAACCACCCAAAAGTTCAACAAAACCTTCACATTAACAACAGATCATTCCATGAAAAATAATCTCAAACAAAGATTGCAAATTTCCACAACATTCTGAGAAAAAATTAGCTCAAATTACTTGCATTCAACCTCAAACAAATCACTGATTACCACAGCATTCTAAGCAAAAACTAGCTTAAAATTTAAAATTACTTGCAATATTAAACTAATCTTATTAATTTCAAATCAAGAGAACTCATTGCAAAATAAAATCTAGAGCAAGAAATAAGCAGAAACATCAAACTAAAGGTGAAATAGCAAGTAATGTAATCAAAATACCTTCAAACATTGCCTACTTTGACTAGAAAAACAACATATCCTAGCCAAACCTAAACTACTCTTCTTTCCATTATCACTCATTTTCGATTCAATTTGCTCAAAAATCCAACCACGTTTCAGAAAAAAATTTTCTCCATAAAAGATCACAAATCACTAGCAACCAGCCACCACTCTCCTCAATTACTAAATTAAACTATGATCAAAGGCAATACGATTTTGATCACAAAAAATCTAACTCAAAAAACATCAAAATCAAAATTAAAGGCGAAAAAAAAAAAGAAAATTCAATCAAAATCAAGCTTGAATGTACCTGCAATCGGAATCCAAAGATTGCCGAGTTACACTACAAAGCAGCATATGTTCATATTTTCCACTCAAATTCGTTCAAAGGATTAAATCACATTTCACATTATCAAATCCAAATCAAGAATCACGGATAAAAAATCGTAGTCAAAACAGTCAAAAAATTTACTAAAAATAAGAAAAAAAAAAAGATCTGATCAAAATTTTCATGGATCAGAGAAAGAAATCGAAGGGACACATGGCGAGAAGAGCGTACCTCTTGTGCTCGAAGGTTATAAGGGGGTTTACGGCTTTGGTAGTTGTTGTAATGGTGGCGGCGGAGGATCTCATTTGTTCCTGATGAGGTGGATCGATTTGATTGGTCTGTGAGATTTTGAGGATGTCGGTGACGGACGAGAGGATCTTTCGGAGATTCTTCTGTTTCGCCTGAATTTCTGCAACGGAAAAACAATGGAAGAGAAAAGAAAGGATATATATAAAGAGAGAGAAGCAGGGAGTTTCGGCTTCGCTGTTTGGGAGAAGGGAAGTGAGGGAGGAAAGAGCGATGTAAAGACGGGGCACATGCAGAATGGCGAGATCAGCGTCACATGTGGGTGCTTTCTTAGCACGGAGATCGATGACGGAAAACGGCAGGATTAGCAATTCCTTGAATCAGAAAATTTTAAATAAAAAAATAATACCAATAGTTGAATCTTAAAAGGACTAAAATAGAAATATATTTTATTTATTTTTAAATATTAGTTATATATTAAATATAGAGTTCCATACTGTTTAAAATATGTAAAATATAATTTTTATTTACTTTTAAAGTTAATGCAAAATTAAAACTCCTAAAAATGAAACAGTTTAATATAACCTTTAACTCTTAATTATTTATTTATTAAAAAAACTTACATTTCTTTGCCTCATTTTATTATATTATATTTTGACATTTTATTCAATATTATTAAATTAATATTATAAATAATTTTTAAATTATAATATAATGATGATGTAATATTTAAATTTTAAAAATTTTTAATATGTCACATGAATTATGAGTTTATTAATTTATATAGCACTTACTTTTAATGTAATTAACTTCAAATGATATATGTATCGGATAAATAATTTTTAAATATTATATTAATTAATAAATTTATAATTTAAATATTATATTATAAATTTTTAAAATTTAAATACTATATTAAATATTTCATTATAATTTAAGAACCATTTATTGTATAAATGATTTTTTTTTTTTAGTTTGATCTCTACTAAATTTTTTTATAAGAAATTATGTTTTATTTTGCTTAAGATACACTAAGAAAACAATCAAACTAGGGAACATTCCATTCAAACTTTGACAAAGTAAGCAACAATAAATAAACTCTTTTAGGTAACTACATTTCAATAATGATAAGTATAATAATAAATTTATTTATTTATATAATAAAGGGGAAATATTTTGATAAATTTGATGTGTTTTTTATTTAAATTTATTAATAATTAAATTTTAACTAAAAATTTAATATTTTACTAATAAATCATATAACCATTAATAAATTTTTAGGCCTTTTTTTTTTTTTTGCCTACTTTTTAAATTCTTGGATGGGTCCAATGTGATAGCATTGGAGATCATCATTAATTTTTGCACCCTCTTCACCTTAAAAGAAACAATTTAGAAGCACTCAATTTGTCACTAATTATCCTAAACAAAATCACATGCTGTCCTGCCTAAGAAAAAGTAGCATGCTTTCCTCTTGAGGCATAGAACGTTTAAATAGGGTTTTAATCATGATATTAACCTATTTAAATAACATTACCCTTTTTTTTTTTTTAAGAATAACATTGTCTTTCAATTTATGGTTCCTTTTGCCTTCTATCATCAATTTTTTTTTAATAACTTGGTAGGGAGTGCAAAAAAAAAAATCAATAATCAAATTTCAAATTGTAATATTCGATTTGATTTAAATTGATTTTTTTATTTGATTTAAATTAAATTTAAATATTAAATATAAATTAGGTTTGGATTAAATTTCAAATTAAAAGTGAAAATTTGAAAAAAAAATCAAATCGAATTATATATTTTAAATTTTTATAAAATAAAAATAATTACTTTATATTTAAATCTATTTAAATATATTAAAAATCATCTTAAAATAATATATAAAAATAAAAATATTAAATTAAAAAACCCTGAACTAAATCAAACAAATAGAATTTGATTTGGATTGTATGAAAGTTTATATCGAATACAAATTAAATTTTAAATATTCATAATTTTATACATTATTCAAAAAAATCGAATTAAATCATATTTGATCCAATTTGTTATCACTCATATAACTTATTATTTTAAAATGAAATGAATAGTATAAATAAACATTACAATAATAATTAAGTTAAAATCTAATATAAAAAAAATTAAAGAATTAAATCAAACAAATAAAATAAATCAATCAATTAACATAAAATTAAACTAAACCCGCCCATGATAAAATCTAAATATGAAATTCCAAATTACTCGTCAAAGTACTTAATATAAAAATTGATATATTATCTATGAATCTAGGAGCATCAAACCATAAGTTCATGAAAAAAAAAAGTCAATTTTAATGGGAATGGTGATTAGTATGTAACGCCTAATCCTCCTTCAAAAGTTATAAAATTTATTAAAAAAAATTTTGTAGAGTAACAATGCCCAAAGTAAATATGATGATTCATATTGTATAAAATATTAAAAATTAAATATTTGTATCGTTGATGAATCTTAACACTTAATTTTGAAGAAATCAATTAATATATATATTTTTTATACAACTTTTTATATTACATATATATGAAAAAAAATTAAAATTTGAATGAGCTAATTCAAGTTTATATATATATATATATATATGTATTAAGGGTTGCTTAAAGTTTGAAAGGGGGCGTTAAGAGTTGTGAAAATTTTGGGGGTCAATGCTTTTCATGCTTGAATGACGGTTTTTCATTGTTTGTATTTTATTTTATATAAAAATTAAGTATTATATTTTATATCGACATAAAATATAAAATATATTTTTTTATTTTATTAAATTTATATATAATTATTATTAAAATTTAAATCGTGTTATTTTTATATTTTATATTTATATCTTATTTATATCGTATTATTGTATCATATTTTAATTTATCAAATTTAATCGAAAATCTCTTAATTATAAGAGATTTTAACATTTTTTGAAAAAAAAAATCATGATCTTACATTTTGTTTTTTGGTATTTTGAATCTTATGACTTGAAAAAAGTCACATGAAATTTGCATATTTTAATGAATATAAATGAAACTCCCAATTCAACGTGATATACAAAAAGTTTGCTTCAATCTTTCAGCTTTTTTTCATGATTTTTATAAAAAAAAAAAAAAAACTTTTATAAAAATGTCTAATGTCTTTGACTTTTGATGCCAACTTTTTTCCAACACAAAACTACATTCAAGCCATAGAAAAGGGATCTTTTGTGAGCAAGATTCTGCCTTCACCTCTAAGAAGCTTAGCTGTTTATCTATGAATAATCAATAAAAAACCATTGATTTTGAGAATTTAAGCAATGTAATTAAGTTATGAAGATTTGATTAGTATTGCAAATCTCATTAGCTTGACCAAAAAAAAATAGTATGATTAAATTAAACTCTTAAATTAATAAATTAATATAATAAATATAGGAACATGTGAGAAAATATTATTCATTTTGTGAAATCTAAATATTTCATTACTGATGTAATAGAATAATACTTCATGTTTAGATTAATAAAATAAGTATTGCACAATCTAATGGATGACAAGGCTAATTAGATGAATAAATATTATAAAAGAAAGTGTTTTTCATTATTAGAATTTGAGAACCAAATCTGTTCAAAGGCTTAGCACTTGTCAAATAGGGGTAAACGGATAAAATTTTTAATGAATCGTTCTTTAATATATTTAATTTTTATTTATTTATTAAGTTTAACAAATGATTTTAAATAATATTGTTATATTCATTTGTTAAATTAATTAAATATTAATAAAAATTTATTTGATTCATTTATATTTATGAATAAATTTATTTAAAAATTGCTTAAAACTTATTCTTTTATTATTCATTTATAATACTAACAACAAAATTACCATTTTTTTATTTTAATATTTTTTAAAAATTCATTTATTTTTGTTTGGTCCGTTAATAATTCGTTTGTTTAAATTTATTTTGTTATAATTTATTTATTATTTATAAACATGTTTGTTTATATATATATATATATATTTGTGAACATATTTATTTATTGTTCACGAATAAATTTACTTAATTTAATTAAATCGAATATAACACAAATATCATATTATTTAAACGAATCGAATTTAAATGAACAAAATAATTTTATTACTAAACACGATTGAATCTAAATATTTTTAAAAATAAATAAATAAATTATAAATATACATTCGTTCATATGCAATTTGTTTATAATCCTACAAATAAATTGAGGTTTGGACAAATTTTTTTTAATAAATATTAATTTGATAAATTGTATAATTACTAAGAAGTTTTTATTTGATTTTAATTTTAAAATAGTAGTATAAAAACAAATTTTTAAATAATACCAAATGAAAATAAATAGGGTTTTCAATTCTAAGTCCTAAACATTTAAAGATATTAACAAAATTGAATCTGACGTGATTCAAACCATAAAAAATTGAATGACCTCATTGGATTAGAACAGGACAAATTGAACCACTTATATTAAATACTTTTCTCCCAAATTTTTTTTATTGATTTTCATAAAATTAACTTAATTTTATAATTATTTTTATAAAATTCAAAATTTTAAAAAATTTAATTTAATTATAATATTTTAAAATATAAAAATTAAATTTAAAATTAAATTTAATTGATTAATAAATTTTTTACCTCAATGAATAACCTTAATTTAAGAGATAACTTATATTAAACACTTTTCTCCCAAAATAATTATTTTTATTGATTTTCATCAAATTAACTTAATTTTATAATTATTTTTATAAAATTCAAAATTTTAAAAAATTTAATTTAATTATAATATTTTAAAATATAAAAATTAAATTTAAAATTAAATTTAATTGATTAATAAATTTTTTACCTCAATGAATAACCTTAATTTAAGAGATAACTTATATTAAACACTTTTCTCCCAAAATAATTATTTTTATTGATTTTCATCAAATTAACTTAATTTTATAATTATTTTTATAAAATTCAAAATTAAAAATTTTTAATTTAATTATAATATTTTAAAATTTAAAAATTAAATTTAAAATTTAATTTAATTGATTAATAAATTTTTTAGCTCAACTAATAACCTTAATTTAAGAGATAACTTAAAAAAAATTCGAAACTCAATCTAGAATAAAGGTGTAATAAATTGAGTTTGAATCGATACAACATTAAACTTGAATTATAGCTCAATTTTAAATTCGAAACTTAAAATTCGATTCAAGTTTGATTGAGTTTTATTTTTATAACTTAAGCTCGATTTGAAAAAAAAATTAAGCAATCAAAATTCATTCTATTAAATTCGATTAATATGTAAAAATAAATTTAATTTTTATATTATAAAAAAACTTAATTTTTTATATTTAAGTTATAGTTTAAAATATTTTATTAATTAAAATAATTAAAATATAAAATTTTAATTAAATTCACAAGCTATTAAAATTTAATATAAAAAATACTTGAATTAAATTCAATTTTATTCGAATTAAAATTATTAACAAATTATTTACATCTCAAAACCTCAATCTACGTCAATCCAGGCAAATGGGTCCGAACCATAACCACCACCGGGCTCCACCCTCACTCCACCTAACCCGGCGCACGATAGCCCCCTCCTCACCCTCGGCCCAATTTAGCATTTCCCCCCCTCCCAATAAAAGCATACCTTTTGTTATATTCCCCTTTCCCAGCTGCTCCCTTCCTCTTCCCCAGCAAACAAAAGGAGCCTTTAACGGGTCGGGTTCCGGGTCTGACGATATTCTTGCTGATATGGATTCGGATTCCAAAACGCCGCTGTTGATGGAACAAAAACACCAGCCTAAATTGTCTTCTTCTAATAATTCTTCTTCCAAAATTTTAACTTTGCCCACCGTTTTAACTCTAGGCCGCGTTGCCGCCGTGCCGGTGCTGATTTTCAGTTAAGTTTCTTTTCTTGAATTTTATAATACAGCAACGGTTTAATTGAATAGTTGTCGATAGTGATGTTAGATTTTGGTTGTTCTTGATCTGTTGCACATTGAATTGAATTTGAAATTTCTAATAATGATGATAATTTGACAATGACATTTCAATTTTTATGTAATGCAGTCAGGATTGTTGTTTCCTCCATGGTTTGAACCTGTGATTTTGCTTTGTTTAATGTTCGGATGATGTATAAAGTTTTCCAAGGTTTTTCTTGTATATTTAGATTATATGTTTGTGATTTTGATGTCTGTTTGAGACATAACTTGTTCAACCATTACAGTATGTATATGTTAGCCTCGTTTGTTTGCGATTTCCATGTCTTGGCGCGTGAATTATGTGTGTTTCAGGGTATTTTGTTTGTAATCTTGATGTCTCTTCGAGTCATAATCTGATAATTTGATGATGATTTTGGGAATTATAGCTTTTATTTGTATTTGAAATCTCTATGCGGGTGAACCTGAGGCTTAGTCTAGTTAGTTAATGAGTCGCCCTTAATAGGTGGCAACCAGCAGGTCTGGGGTTCAAATCCCAATGCCAGCAATCACTTCATCCAACAGGTCTGGGATTCAAATCCTAGCACCTGCAATCCCTTCCCCTATCCACAAGCTATGGTCTTCGTTGTACCAAAAAAAATCTCTACGTGAGTGAATTATGATCTATGTTTGATAGGTTGCAATGTGATTAATGGTATAAGAAATCTATGGGTTGTTCAATGTATCGGTGGTGTGCTTTTGAATTCTTAGTGGTGCTTGCTAATTGCATTGCCGATGTGAAAACTTTCCATTTGGTGAGACTAATGAAATAGTTTTTTTTTCCTCTCTAGCCTTTTATGTCGATAGTTGGTGGGGAAGGACTGCTACGACTAGTATATTTGTTGCCGCTGCTATAACTGATTGGCTTGATGGGTACATTGCTCGGAAGGTTTGCCTTCCACCAACCCCCTTGTTGGAATACGATGGAAACCTTTCTTTTTCCTCTTGTTTTATAGTTACTCTGTATAATTGATCCAAGTAAAATCTTTATTATGTCTTTCAGATGAGGTTACATTCTGTCTTTGGTGCTTTTTTGGATCCAGTGGCTGACAAGGTCTATTATTTCTTCCTTTTTTTTTCTGAAGTTTTGAGGGTTTTTAAAGATGCAGTTTAATTACTGAAGTTGCTGTATTAACTTGTCTGAACCATTGAGCATTCCATCTGATCTAATGGTTGTTGAATGTAGCTTATGGTTGCTGCTACATTGGTCTTATTATGTTCAAGACCTTTGAATGTTGCTATGTTTGGGCAAGTTCCATGGCTGCTGATTGTACCATCAATAGCCATTATTGGAAGGGAGGTAATATATATTATAGCCGATATTTTTCTTTACATGTATGGATTAGTTAAAGATATCTTACAAATAGTTGGCAATTCATTTGCAGATAACTATGTCTGCCGTCAGGGAATGGGCTGCTTCTCAGAATAGTAAGCTTTCTGAGGTTTGCTTCTCAACCTCTTTTACTTCTAAATTAAAGGTTTTTTTACATGTTCTTTTTTTTTTTTTCTCTCACGAGGAAATGCTTGATTTTTGGTTGTAGCTTATTTTATAAGTTTGATACATATTATCAGGCTGTTGCAGTAAATAATCTGGGGAAGTGGAAAACTGCCACGCAGATGGTTGCACTAACCATCCTTCTAGCTACAAGAGATAGCAGGTTTATTAATTTGCTTCATTGACCTGCATGATAATGATAAATGCCCAAACAAGCCTGGTTGAATCATTCCTTTTGTATCTGACTGTTTCTTCATTTTTTACCCTTTATGCAGTCTTGGAGAACCTGGGATTTTAGTAGCTTCAGGTGTTATTTTGCTTGATATTTCAGCAGGGCTTTCCGTAATGTCATTAGCTGTGTATATGGGGAAGATATGGAAAGTATTATTAAAGTAGTTATCGACATCTGCTGACAGTTTGTGGCTGATCCTTTCTCTCTCTGTCATGTTACTCCATATTCTTTCTGATGAATATCTTCACACATTGAAGCCGATTTCTTTGTTTCACTGGATTTAGGAGAAAGCCCTTGCTTTTTGAAGTCTCTTTCTAGTTAAAACTGTCTCGGTAAGGGTATCAATATGTTTGCGGGCTGTTCCAACATCTTAAACGATGTTGGAACAAGATATGTTTTGCTTTTGCAAAGGATGCCGGATGCTTAAAGTAAGTTTGAGTCCCAACAGAAGCACATTTGGCACTGTACTGGAACTAGAGATGAAGCAACTCTTGCTGAACTATTGTAGTGTAAATGACAATTACTAGTCAAGTAGCTACTCACAGCTTACACAAAAGTGATAATATTTGAGGCAGATCTCATTTGTTATAGCAAAATTTCATACCCTGTTACACGTTCTCCTTTGAAGAACTCATGAGTTTATGATGATGAATTGATTATGAAATTTATGTGAGAGAATTCTCAACGAATGGCCATTGGCAACAATTGGGTCTGTTACTAATATGATTGAATTTTATTATATTCGTGATTTGTTCATTTAATAAATGAATTTTAAAGTGTTGTTCGTGATTGTAACTTAATAAACAATCATAAATCGAATTTGTTCAAGAGCTATTTGTCAAAAGATGCAATGACTTTTTTTAGTACAAAACAGATCATAATTCAAGGTTAGAGAAAGGGATGAAAAGAGAAAGCGATGAAAGGTCATGGTTCAATCTGCTCTGGCTTTTAAGTTCAAAAGAAAACGTAATCTAAGGATAATGAAAGGTCATTGATCAATCTATTGATTAATTAACAAATGTTAAAATGTTGTTCATGATCGTTTGTTAAGTTTAACAAACGATAAAAATTGAATTTATTCACAAATTATTCATCAACATTTGTTAACGAATTGTTCGTAAAAAACTGCTGTGACTTTTTTAGTACAAAAAAGAACGTAACCTAAGAACAGAGAAAGGCTTGAAAGTATTGGAATTTTATCTCTAAACTAATTAGATGTCACTTCTTAGAAGTGATTGCATGAACCGGCTGAGCTAAATCATGGATTCCAAAATATGTAGTAGTGCCTTTAACCAACAACAACTTCATGAAAACTGCCAAAAAGAGACAAAGTTTACATAAACTTCTGCAACAGTTCAAATGAAACTTTCATCTGCTAATATGATTCAAGTTGGGATGAAACCAGGAAGCCAGATCTCCATAGATGCTATGTTCAGAGATACACAGGGAAGAGAAATTGCAGGTTAAACAACTAAGAGGCAAGAATAACACTTAGAACTGAACCACAATAAACATGTACTTACATTTAGTCGCAAAATCTGAACAATTCTAAAGGCAAATGGATAATACCATAGATATCAATGAATTTTTATAGCTTTTCAATTATCATGTGTCAGTCACCAGAGTAAACTTCAATGGAGGAATTCTCTTAGGCACTCTCTAACTGGTAACTAACATCTATAGATAATTCTATCATGGCTTTATGGAAACAAGTTCCTGAATTGAGTGGCTATACATTGGGAAAAAAATCATTTTCAATGCTTGTTAATACAAAAGGAGAAAATGGGGAGAAAATGATAGAGGTCTAGGACCTGTTGCACTAGCAGTTGCCATTTCCAGGGACTCCATCACCACCTCGGATTGAAACCAGGGGTCCACACCATGAGCTGCGGCTTATCAGATGGGAATCCAGAAACAAAACAATAACTGTTATATCATCATGAAAATGTCTCCTTACTCCGCGGTCAATCTTTTTCAAGTCTGAGTATCTCATTTCCCTCTTCTTTGCTGCTTCACGAAGCGCGGCTTTGATAAGTCTCCTGGCAATACCCTGTGTAAGCATCTCTTATCAGTATATCCAGAAGCAACTTAATCATCAAAATAAAGATGACCTCTAAGTTCTAAGTGATTTCAGCATATAACTCATATATATATATATATGTGGAGAAAAAAAAAAGAATAAAAAAGGAAAACCTTTAAAATGTTCTGGTTTAGTAATTTGTCAACAATTATACTAATTACACAATGTAGGAAAAGCCAGCAGCAGCTGCTTCAACGACAAGAAACCATTTTCTAGGTTGCGAGGGATAAACATGTAGTTGACTCAACCAATCATGTTTATCACAGATAGGAAAATGCGGAAAAGGAAAGGTCTAGAGTTTTACAACCCAGGAAATTAAAAGAGAACCTGATAATTTAAAACATGACATGAAAACGATACAAGAAAACACACAAAACTAACATGGGTTAAAATTTTAGCAAAAACCATATATGAGTTTAACAAAATATATATATATATATATATTTCATATTTTTCATGTTGACATGAATTATAACACCCAATTTTAGTGTAAAACACGACACAAATATACAAATTACTAGTGTTTTAGATGACAAGAATACATGAATTGTCAGGTTTGATAGGGTCTGCTAATTCTTGCTAACATAAGAGCCATTATTTTTTTAGAACTCAATTGTAAGAGCAACCACAACAATATAGCCAGGTTAAATACATCAAAATAAAATCACAAAAAGAAATCTTACATTACGTGAACAGGTGTTGACCATGTTGACTGCCTCCTGATTGCCAAGGTGCTCCCATAGACCATCTGATGCAAAGATAAGAAACTGATCTTCAGGATGGAGTTTCTGTACTAATATTGCTGGCTCAGCTTGTAGGATTGGCTTCTCGAATGATTCTGGAACTCTAAACTTTGGCAATAGAGGTTCTTTGTTGAATTCTGCCTTCTTTAGATAAGCATCACCAATGGATCTTGAAATCTGTCACATAATAAACTTTGGTAAATGGACTATAGTTTTGCACATGATTGTTAAGTAGATCATGCAAATTATCTCTGTCAGATTGATAGTAATTCAAATGGCAATTCCCCTGGAAAGTACCTTTGAAAGTCATAATACATATTGAGATTCTAAAAATATCATATCTAGGTCAAGTTTCATATATCTAAACATCACTTATGTTGTTATTTAACCTGAAATCATTCCCATGAAGTCTACGAAATGATCACCAAAGCAGGTGAAAAATGAATTCCTAAGATATTCTCGAATTCATCCTTCCTCAACATTATCGATAACATCCCTCTACATCTGAAAATAAGTTTTTACAATGATTACTGACCAAAACCTAAAGCTGGTTCCCCTAGCAGCATGATTCACCGCAATGCATACAAGTATCCTTGTCAAATGTTGTTATCTGTTATAATCCATGTCACAGAGACAAAATAAATGAATAATTAACTAAATAAATAATTTTGGGGTTGCTTCTTTGATGGTAAAGGGATTCGATAGGGTCAGGATTTTGATGAGCCATAAGTCTATATTGGAAATCAAGAATTCATAAATAGCACCATGATGGTGTACTGAGAAAATAAATATACAAACTGATAACAATTCAAGCAAGGATGCTCCTATGGAAAAATGAAATGACGGAAAATATGACGAATTCTGGTACCAGTAGAAATTCAAAAGACTAACATTCAAGTTGGTATGCGCTGAAATATACGCTGTAAACAGGCTGGATATTGGAATGAGAAAGTAATTTACCAACTTTCATCAATGTCTTGACAAAATAGCACAAATATCCCAAAGACACAATAAATTACCTGTATAATACCCTTAACCCGCCATACTTTGTGCTTGAGGACCACAATCTGTGGATCATCAGGATGTAATGATCGCAACTCCTCCCGCACAGATTCAATGCTTGCATTGTGCTCAGATGATAACTGAACTGCTTTCACCTCTTTAAAGGCTTTTTCCAGTCTTCCTAAGACCACTCGAGAATCTCCAGCATTTGCAATGTATAGCAGTCCGCTACAAAGTATTCCCACCAAACAACATGAACCAACAGAAGCAATTTGTGGGTTACTAAGCCACTGCTTCTTGACAAGAGTAAGAAAATCCTCTTCGGTTGCCGAAAATGCTTTGTTTATTACATCAGCTGACATTCCATGATTCTCAGCTGTAAACTCTGCACCATTAATAGCTGTCAAGTCAGTGAACATATGCATTAACTATCAAAAATTGGAAACTAGAACTAGTGGGGAAAAGAAATTTGATTTTTGAGGAGAGGTAGGAGAAGAGGGTCAGAGTTGATCCAAATTTGACATTTTTTGTTGTCCCTAATAAATGATTAAAATGGAGCATATGAGAAGGAATTGACAAATCCTCAAGCTCCAAAAAACATATCGACGACTTGACTTTTGAAACTCTTAAGACCTTTGCAGTGAGCTGGCATGACAAATCGTCAGATTACTAAATTATCATCAGAAAGCATAAAGTAGCACATTCTATTTTTTTGAAGATTACTTCCAACCTGTTTACAATGTGCCAAATCTTCTCTAAGCATGTAATCAACAGTAACCAAACCCCATTCCAAATCTGACTTTTAAGACTGCAATAAAAATATAAATGCTTGTTAAATTGTGAAGTTCCAGCCTCACTGCCTCACTCAAACATGCCTACTTCAACATCATTGGTCCTTCTTTAAGGTGCATGATCCAGCTTTAAATATTTTATAACTATCAAATATGATGTTTTCTGAGACAACCAATGGAAACAAGGCAAGATGTAACTTGTCAAACATCAAAACCTATCCAAATTGCAATGACAAAATAACAAATTCTGATTCAATTCAGCAAAGAGGAGAAAGAATAACATACTCTTGATATGGCCAAAAAGGTGTTTGTTTATGAACCTAGCAGCTTCTGGACCTCCATGACCATCATAAATTCCAACAAATGTCCCATGAGGCCCCGATTCAACCGAGCTCATCGGACCTGATTCAAGTTGGCTATGGTCTTCCAACAGATTATTTGCTTGAATTACTGCCATTGAAAACTCGCCAGTAACATGTTCTCCTAAATCTTTGGACCATATCAATCCATCAAACCTACCATTAGCATCCCCACCTCTACTAGAATTCTCACCCTCAACGGAAGGCCTCCAACAGGGCGGCACAATTCGCATCAATGTTGCTGATACCATAACTTACATATTCTCACCCAAAAGACCCAGCAATCAAATTGTTCATAAAATCAATACTGGGAACTCTATTGACCCAAAGTATTTGCTCCGGTTTCTGCTCAATTTCCAAACCCACAACGTAAGTTTCAGAAATCAAACACATTGATAAATGCAGACAACATTAATCTGCACAGTTGCAATGAAAAGAAATTACAAAACCTTCATTTTAATCCCATAAACTGCATAATTCTAGACAAATCTTAAAGAGAGGCATTACTGACAGCATCCTAAAATGGTTATTCACATAAAACTGCAATGTTTTCAGGGCAAAAATAAGAATATAGGCACCATCAGTTTATCTATGCTTTTGGAGGTCCAACAAACCAATACACATGACCTTGAAATGCATGAAATGAACATGAAACTCCAAGATTAGAATTCCACATTGCCAACTTCTTCAAGCATTAAAATGTAAAAAGATTTCTAAAACAGCCAAAATATAACTTGAGAGAAAATAAAAAAAAAAATTCAGACACTCATGAATCTATACATCAAAAACATAAAACAAAAGACATGAAATTGAAACCATGACCAGAACTCCACATCCCCAATCTCTCCATGCATTAAAATGCTAACAAATTAATGGGTTTGAATAAAAATTACAAAAAAAATGAACTTCAAAATAAAATCAAATAATTTTCAGACACCAACCAATATGTAAAACATCAATTGACTAGAAACCATTTCTGAAATTCCACATTGCCACCTCTCTACATGCTTTAAAATGGAAACCAAGTGATGGGAATGTTAGAAATACAAAAATATGAACTTTGGAACAAAATTAAAAATTTTCAGACACCTATCAATCAGAACCCTTAATGGGGTCAATCAAAACAATGACAAAATTTTACATTTGAATCTTTTACATGAATTAAAATGGAAACAAAATGATGGGTATTTCTAGAAATTGCAAGAAAAAAATTTGAACAAAACAAAGAATTTTCAGACAGACATCCTTCACCTTAAAAACATAAAAAAAAAAAAAAACAACAACTACATGACATAATTATTTAAAAAAAAAGACCCAACGGAGATTTTCTACTTACATACCTTATGAAACAATGAAGAATTTTGTATGATCTTTTCAGTTATAAGCCCGTCTAAGATGACTCAAAAGAATCAAATGAACAACAAAAAAAGACATGTTTTAAGAATGTTTTGAGACAAAAGAACACGAATGAAAGAAGAAAAAGGTTGGGAGAAAGTTGGGAAGGTGGGCTTGAAAAAAAATATAATAAAAACTAGTAACTTTTAACAAAACAAATCTTGAGTTTTTGAAACCATCACTTCTCTTTATTACTTTTTTTTTTTTTTTTGCCCTTTCTGTGGGTTTTTAGCTTATGGTTTTTGGGTTGGAATTTTTTATAGTTTTTATTTTCTAAATTTATTGGCTGAGTGGGTTTTGACTTTGACCTTCAGGCTTCAACAAACCAACATTTTAGGCAACTTTTACTCATCCACCTTTTTTTTTTTTTTAAATAGCAAACCAAAACTTTCTCCCTTTTGAAAATTATGTTGAATTTCTTCCTTATTTTTCATTTTTTATGATTTGGTGCAGATTACAATTGTAATTTTTTTCATTTGAAAACAAGTTTGGGTTATAAAATAATATGCATTCTTTTTTTCCAATATTTTTCTTGTGTTGGCTTGGCCAAAATAATTAGAAAATTAAACTTGATTTTTGTGAAATGAAAAATCAAAATCAGGTCGGGGATTTTTTTTTAAAATTGTTTGAGAAAATTATTTCAAGAAAATGATTAAATATAAATAAAATCTAAAATTGATAAAAATATAATATAATAATAAAATATGAAAATAATACGAATAAGAGATATGAAGTGATATAATTTAAAATTTTAATAAAAATTATAAATGAATTTAATAAAATAAAAATATATATTTTATATTTTCATATCGACATTAATTATAATATATAATTTTTATATAAAATATAATATAAATATATGAATTATTAATATTTTACAAAATATAAATATACTATTCTCAAGTTTTGTAAAATCTAAAGATATTACTAATCCAATTATAAAAAAAATATATAAAATAAAAGGATTTGAAGTAGGTTATATCTTGCCCATCAAAACAAAATAATCAACTAATTTAATATAATAAAACATACTCAATTAGGGTAGTCAAATTCTTGATTTTATCTCAAAGGGTAGGTAATAATTTTATTAAACTTGTCATTATATATATAGTGATTCATGTTTTTTTGTGTGTCAAATCAACTTGTTAGGGAGAGGGGAAATTTGAACTTTATTTCTTTGTTTTTTTTTTTTTTTTTTTTATAGCAACCAAAATGCTTGATTCTCTTTGCATATTTCATCAAGGTATTAAGTCAAAATATTGAATTGAAAATTATTTTGAATTGGCAAGAGGTTCTCTTGCATAATCTGATGAAAGAATGATGATAAAACTAGGAAGTTTAATAAAGCTAAAAACAAAATTAGTCAATTGTCAAAATGGAGTTTTCTTCTAACAAAAACAAATAGTAGGAATAGATATTATTTGAGATTTGCATCTTTGTTTGATATTGGCTTCCTCTCTATCAATGCATTATTTTTATTTTTTATTAACAAATTTTAAATTTAACTCTTATTTTTTATTGATCATTAAGTTAATTATTTGGATACCATTAATACATTATTTTTTCACTCGTTCAAAAATAATAATTCGATTATTAAAGAGAACAGTTTTAATTTCTTATTGATCAAATTTTGATTTTTATAAAAAAATATTTTGAAAATAAAATTTTGAATGAAATGACTTGATATGAGATCATACATCTGTATTTAGACTATATAATTTGATTTTTATTTTTTAAGGTTTTGACACGTGAGGTTAAATGGTTGACACCAACTTAACAAATGAGCATTGCTTATTTTTAAGATTAAGTGTTTCGATCTATATTAATTTATAAGGTATTATTCGTTTTAATCTATTAAATTTTACGATTTTATTTTATAAAAAAATATCTCACAAATTAAAAATAATATAAATATTTATATTTCAATATCAATTCCAATATGCAATCAATATAAAATTTATAACTTTTTTTTTTAAACTACGACAGTAATCTTGAGTCCTAAGAAATTTTACGGCATTGAACTTGTTGGTGCTTGCTTAATTTTTTTTTTTTTTTTTTTTTGTGTGTGTGGGATAGATGTAGATATTCCTACACATGGATGAATTTATGGTTTTTGCGACCATCCAAAAAATCAACCAGTCCTAAGAAATTTTACAGAGTGGCTGTTATAATATTTTACAATTTTAAATATAATATAAAAAAATTATAAAAATGATATAATTAAAATTTTTAAAAAATTATATATAAATTTGATAAAAAAAATAGATTTCATATTTGATGTATTAATATAAAATTTAATACAAAAATTTTTACATTATATATATTTAATATAAAATAAATATAATATAAATACATAAATTTTTATATTTTTATATTATTAAATAATTGGCCAGCATTCATATATATATATATATATATTGGTAAACGCAATAAGAAAGATAGATGCATGTACGTTTTGCCGGCATCTACTTCTGCATTGCACGCTTGTTGATAAGCCAGTCTGAGAGGATATGCTTGCTGTCATATGCAAATGTCAATTATAAATCACGTACAAATTTTACTGTTATGATGACATAATATTTGGACATTTCACCAAATATTTTAGCAGATGATGTAAAATTATATAATTATCGCTCGATATGAAATGTCATTCAAAACTTGATTTAAAAAAAAAAATTTAAATACATTCTTAATTTTTTATAAAAATATTTTAACTCAAAAATAACAAAAATTATTATAAATATTTATGATTTAAATTTAAATCGATTGATTTAAATTTTGAATTTTCATATTTTTTATATATTCAAAATTTGTAATTTTCAGTAATTTATACATAAATACGACAAATCGGGCAATTTTGGGTCTCTACTAGCCATCGCTCGATGCAAAATTTATGGTACATATGTTTACAACCGGGAAGAATCCGACATTGATCACCATCATGGAACTTTCCTAGGCAGATAGCACAGTCATCATAGTTTTCTCTTGTTCCTTCATTATTCTCGTTGAATACAAAATCAACAGTCCTGGACAGTATGGCTGGGGATATTAGCAGCACCATTGGCGGCAAAGCTACAGCGGCGGCCGGTTGCCCGGTTTCGATATCTTGGGGTGGTGGTCCACGTCGTTGGAGGGCTATCTTGCAGAAAGAAACTAGTAACCCTAAAACCAAGAAAGCTAATGGTAAAAATATGAAAACCAATAATAATGCTACGAAAATCAGTAGGCTTAGGTTTCGGTCTGCCATTGTTGAAATCTTAAAATATAAAAAAACAAAAAATCAACAACCGTGTGTAATCTGTTAATAATCAAATTTTAAATTTCAACGACGAACATAAAAAAATCTTAAAAACAAACAAACAGGGGTTAAGATTGTCGTCTAAGATTTTACTTTTATAATTTTTCTGACACCAAATCCAACTAGAATTAGGACTAGTAATGTTGACGGAAATCCAATATTTATTGTTTTTTATTAGTTATTTATTCCCTTTTTTTTTTTTTTTTTCATAAAATGTATCAAAGTTATTAGCATGCACAAAAAAAAAAAAAGGTTTGAGAAGTATTTTTTTTTTTTCCAAATTTGAAACTTTAGTAATTTTTAATACAATTCATTTTTGTTATATTATTCATTTAATAAATGAGAGTAAAAAAAGAATAAAAAAATAAATTAATCTAATTATTATATATTTGATAAAATTATTTATAGACCAACGAATGGTCGGATTAAGTAAAAGAAATGTATTTCTTTTTTTATTGAAAGATAATTTTTTTATAAATTCGTTAGATAAATTTGTTTGAATTGATTTAAGGAGGAGATGTAAATAACAAAATACGAGAATCTCTAATGCTTAATAAAAAAAAAAAGAAAAGAATCATATATAGATTTTTAAAATTATATATATTTTCTTGAAAATATTTTATTTGATAATATTATTTTTGTAATTTGAAAAAAGAAAGAAACTAAATTGAAAAAATCTATTCAAGAGTTAGCAATAGTAAAAATTTAAAAATTTCATTGAAAATTATTAATTTTTGGATAAATTTTTATATAAAATATGGGATTATGAACTTCCAAAAATTCTGTCCAAAAAAAAAAAAGAAATCCCAAAAGTAGTAGCTGGCCCAACCCAAAGCCCAACTGTTCAATCAAATCCACTTCCTTGATTCATCCCTTGTGCCCATTTCTCAGAATTACAGACCTGATACGCCGTCGTTTCATTCGATCCCATCTAAATGTCATTCTTTTCCTCTGCACTCTTCCATTGAACTCGGCCAACATTAAATAAAAATCTCCTTTTTGATTGCCCAATGGAAATCGATCCCATTCCAAACGGCGCCGGTTCGACGGCCACGACAACCCCTGAAACCGTCGCGACGACAACGGCACCCATCGCCGCGTCTAATACGAGTCCTTCCTCGAAACTGAGCCAACTGACGGAATCGTTGAAATTAGAGCACCAATTCTTGCGTGTTCCCTTTGAACATTTCAAGAAAACGATCCGAGCCAATCACCGAACCGTCGAGAAAGAAGTCTCCGCCGTCATTTCAAGCGTCGCTGACGTGGCTGATTGTGACGAACTTTCCAAAGACGACGCCGTTTTGAGTCTTAGCTCCCTTGTTTCCCGTTTGCAAGGACTCAAACGCAAGGTAAAAGAAAAATAAAAGAAGAAAGAAGATAAAATTTTAATTTTATTTATTTTTAATTAGTTTTATCTTTTTTTTTAAAAAGTTAATTGAGTGTGATTTAGATTGAAATTAGCTAAATTATGTTCTTTTCAACTTCTTGGATAGAAATCTTGGATAATTTTGAGTGCTAAACGGCTGAGTTTTAATATGATTTAAAGTTGATGAGTTTGTATAAAAAAGAAAGGGAATCATTAATTCTATTTAAAATGGCTGAATTTTTGTGAAAGTTGAAATTTTGATGCTTAATTTGATGATATGAGTTTTTAAAATTAAATCAATGATAAATTTAAAAGGGATGAATTTGTATGGAAAGTTGAAATTATTGAAAAATTTGGAGTTCTGAATCTTATCATATTGGATTTGGATTTTGGAGATAAATCAAGGTTAAATGTAAAAGTGACTAAATTTTTATGATATCACAATGGATAGAAATCTGCCATGTAAGAATTTGCGGAAAGCAAAGCACTGATAGAGTTTAATCCGAAATTGTTCGCCTTTGGACTATATATATGTGTGTGTGTGTGTGTGTGTGTGTGTTTCATGGATTGGCATTTTGTCAAAATTCAATAAACTTGTAATCCAATTTAATTAGTAACCATTGTATATTCACAGCTGCTAGCAGTGATTTCTATATGTCTTATCTTCAAAAAGTATGAGCATTTGATGATTTTATGCTTTTTTTCATTGGTAAATTTTTTCTTCTTATCTAAGCAATTGTGTTGTCTTTTTGTGTTTGGTAATTAAGAGATTGGAGTGGATAAGTTTGTTATCCAAGGTCATGAGTAGCCCCTCTAAATTAATGGGTAGTCAATATGTTTTTTATCATTCAGTTGGAAGAGGGGAGTCGAACAGAGAACTTACAGGCACAGAAATGTCGGGCTCGTTTTGATCATTTAGAATCAGTGGATGCTGAGAACATGTCTGAATGGAATAATATGCGATTGAAGCGGATCCTTGTGGACTACATGTTGAGGATGTCATATTATGACACTGCTATGAAGTTGGCTGAAAGCTGTAACATACAGGTAATTTACATGCTTGTTTCATTTCATATGTTTGCTATGGAGGTGTTAAAGGTGTCATTCATTGAAATTCAATTGAATAATGGAGGTGGAAAGTCAAAAAAATTGCTATTGCCTTTTTCTGTTTTGGTTAATGGAGAATTTGGAAGGAGTATCAAGCAGTATTACCTTGAATCAGCATGTTTTGTCATCTTTCCTCTATAATAGTATCAACAGTACACACATATTTTAATTTTTTGGATTAGAATTCTTCGTCATTCATCAGTATTTCTGGATTTGACTGGGCACCTTTTTTTTTTTCCCCCCTTAAATGCTCATCTATGAAGCACGGACACTTCTGAACCCTTCGCATACCTGTGTTGTATTCGTGTCAGATACTTTGACACTTGCGACACATCAAAATACGTGTCGAACTTGGCCCAACACAACAAAGAAGAAAAAAGAAGAAAAAGACAATTCTTGTGGGATAACGATACTATATGTTCTTTTATTGTTGTGTCTATCATTTTTTTTTTTTCAACAAGGGTAAATATTTTTTGAAAATCAACCCAATCTCTACCATATATTGTTAACTGATGATTATATATATAAAAAATAAATTTTTATTGGCATGTTCTGCCGTATACGTGTTCTCAGGTTTTAGAAATAACCATGTCGCAGTGTTCGTATTGTATTGTACCTGTATTACATGTCTGTGTCCTTGCTTCATATATGCTCATTATAGAAACCATTCTTGTCATCTTTGTCAGTGTCTTCACAATAGTTTCCAATTATATTGCTTATAATAACTGCTGAGGTCCAATACAAACTTTCTGCTTATTTAGAAGTTACTGCAATGCTTGAATTTCACATCACATGCCACCCTTCTTGAGAACCACTCGGCTTTGACAATGATTTGGCAATGGCTCTTCTGTTGTTTCAAGTAAAAATAAATAAATAACTTTTGCAAGTCATATGCACCTTGTCTGCCTACAGATGTGCTTGTATTTAATTGAATTTTATGTGCCAGGATCTTGTTGATATTGATGTTTTCCAAGAAGCTAAGAAAGTTATTGATGCCCTCAGAAATCAGGATGCCGGTTCTGCCCTTGCCTGGTGTATAGATAACAAATCACGGTTGAAGAAGTCCAAGGTATACATTTATTGTGTTTTCTGAATTTTCATGATCATTACTCTCTTTGAGTTTCTCTTTATGTTTTAACATTTCCAGAGACACAATTCTGTTAAGAGTTAAACCATAACTGAGCTCTTTTATTATCGGCATTTATGCTATGAAATTATTCTCTTAACTGCATTTATTAGATACAGATGTTCTTTAGTACTTGCTGTAAAAAATTTGTGGGTGTCCCAACTTGGATTTAGAGCTGTGATTTTAGATTGCATCATTTTTGTTGCTTTTTGATGACAGAGCAAATTCGAATTCCAGTTGAGACTTCAGGAGTTCATTGAGTTGGTACGATCTGAAAACTACATGCGTGCTATTTTGTATGCTCGAAAGTACCTTGCACCGTGGGGAGCAACTCATTTGAAAGAATTGCAGCGAGTCATGGCAACATTGGCCTTTAGAAGTAACACTGAATGTGCAAAGTACAAGGTGAATTTGATCACTCCTTTGAAATAGACTACTAGTTCAAGTTAGTTTTGTTGCTTGTGATGTTTAGTGGAATGACTGGTTGACAATGATAAATATGAAAGAATCGGAAATAATAGGAGGAAAGGCAAAACAAACAGTTGTCTCGCTCTGATTACCTAATAAGGTCAATTGTTTACAGTTGTTTATTTTACATCATTGATGACCTTGTAAATGTGGAGCATTTTTATTTAATTTAGTAATGATAAATGACACAAATATTTGTATATTTGGATAATTCAGCTAAAATTGTATTATTTAAAACATTATATCTATCTAGTTTTGCCTAATTTTGTTGCAATTCTGATTGATCCTAATGCTTCCTTTTCACAACCTATGACCTGTCGAGTAGGGCATAGTACTACTTTGGATCATTTTGATTCTTTTTACTGTTTTCAAAGATAAAAGCTTTTTGTTCACTTAGATTCCTGAATAAATAACGTATATCACTCACTTCAATTTTGTCTGCCTGAAGATGAATAATCCTTGTCCTCCTCTTGGTATTTCAAATTTGCTATTTATGACTGAGCTTATTGTGCTTTGTTCCTTCTTTCTTATCTTTAAGCAACATACTTTTGCTGGTACTAGTAGTGACACTGATTTGCTATTCAGATAATTTGCTCATGCTATTTAGCTTCCAAGTAACCTAAAAAGGGATTTTCTCCTTGTCTTATTTGCGTACTTAACATCTGCCATGGGTTATGTGTTTAGGTGTTTAGCGTTTATTAATAAATGACACATTATCTCCCAAATGGTAGCTAAAACACTATATACATGAAACTCTAAGGCTTTATACCATCTTGTCTCGTGGGAGCTAATAAGGGTCAGGTTTGAACAATGCTCATACAATATGTTTTGATTTGATTCCAGGTTTTGTTTGAACCTAAGCAGTGGGACTTCCTGGTGGATCAGTTTAAACAGGAGTTCTGCAGGTTATATGGCATGACCCCGGAGCCATTGCTGAATATTTATCTACAAGCAGGCTTGTCTGCTTTGAAAACTCCGTATCCTTACATCAACTACCATTATGTAACCACTTATTATTTTGTCTATATTTATCTGCCAACTTAATAGCCTCAGCAATGTCAACAGAGCACTTAAAGTAATATGACATGTGAGCAATCCTCAAATTAGCATTCTGGGTTATGAAGAAGTTGTAGGAATCTTACTTTGCATGAGTGTGCAGATACATCTAAATTCCTAAACGATCGAGTTCCGCTCGATAAGTTTTCAGTGCCTCAAATTTCTGCAAGCACAGTTTTTCCCTTGACATGATTAGATACTGTTATGAAGATGACTGCACCAAGGAGGACCCATTGTCGCAGGACAGCTTCCGGAAGTTAGCATTGCCTTTGCCGTACTCCAAGCAGCATCACTCAAAGCTTGTTTGCTACATAACCAAAGAGCTAATGGACACAGAGAACCCACCACAAGTCTTACCTAATGGCTATGTCTACAGCACTAAGGTTCACATTTTACCTCACTAATGTTTACATTTTACTGCCAGTATTAACTTTTTCATTGGGTTAAGTCTTTTGTCTTCTTGTCTTATGTGGTAGGCTCTCAAAGAAATGGCTGAGAAAAACAACGGTAAAATTACATGTCCAAGAACAGGTTTGGTCTGCAGTTATTCAGAGCTGGTTAAGGCCTATATCTCATAAATTTGCATGGTCAAGACTGTAAATCTGGTTGTTTCCACAACTTGTTGGTAATTTTCTGCACCATCTGAGGATGCTTCTCTGCTTTCTGATATTTTGAAAATTCTGATTTCAGAACTTAACACTGTAATTCTTCTTGTACCTCAACTTTGTTAGGGTGTTGAAGCATTTACCTCATGTAAATATGCAAAATTAAGACTGTACTTCTCTCTAGCTTATTATGCAATTGAATAAGCAGCATTTCCCTTTAGTTGATTATACTTGTTTTAGTTACTATATCACAGCCATTAGTTCTATGGATTTTACTTTTTTTTTTTTTTCGTCTTTTGGATTACAATTGAGATTTGAAATTGAGACCCTTAATTCTAGAACCGATTTCAATACCATTGAGGGAGTGGCTGGGGATGGCAAATATATCTGAACCTATCGAGTTTCAATCCTATCCAACTCTATAGGATTTTTTTTTTTTTTTAAATTAGGTTTCGGGTTGAATCGGAATTTTTTTTTTTAAGTTGGGGTCGGTTAGAGTTAGATTTTAGGTGAACCCATCCCATTATATATAAGAATTGTTGTTTATTATTTATTTAATTTTATATTTTTATATATGTATTATATTAAGAAAATTATTGTTTAATACTTTAATTTAAGATATTGACTTAATAAAAATGTTATATTTATTTATAAGTAAGATGTAATTTATATTAAAAAAAATATTTTATAAATATTATATTAAATTAATTTGAGTCAAATTGAATTAATTAAGATTTTATATATATGCAGATTAAATATAAAAAATTAATGTTTTAATGTTAAATCAAGTCAATCGAATATGTATTTTATGAAATCAGATCGGAGTCCGAATGAGAAAAATTCATCTTGTCCTGTCCCGTAGCTGTCACTTGTAATGACTCATTGGTTTTTGGATTTTACTTTGCAGTCTTGATTTTGATGGAAACTTTATTCTTGAATTTTAATTCTGATCTGAACACAGTTGCACCGCATTAAAACCAATTCCATTTGGTAGAAATACGAACTTCATTATGAAGGCATACTCAGAACAAATTAAAATCAATTGCATCTTTAATGGTTGGTTGGCAAAGGTTGTTGTTGCTGCAGAAATTCTCAATTCATTTCATGTAGAATATCATTTTTGGGAGGGAGAATCCTAGTTATTTTATTGCCCAATAAGAAAGTAAAAGGGAAGAGCTGGTTTTGCAAGAAGGCTAGCAATGTCTTGACCAATAACAAAATTCCATTACTTTGTCATATCTCTAAGCTAAAGAATGGTAAAACGAATAAGAGAAAGCCAAAGGCTTTCCACATCGGGTAGTGTATATATAGGGTTTCACGTTAACTTGAATCATTCGATTTTGAACTAATGATGTATTCTATCTTTGAACCAAAAGAACAAAATGTGATTGTGTTATTGTAATTTGTTAACAATGAATTTATCAAAGATAATATTTCAAATATCTCATATAAGTATTATTAACGTATCCCATTTAATTAACTTTTCACGTTGAAAATGTTAAGAGAATGTATGAGTTATTAAAATTTTACATTAATTCAAATTAAAAGTAATGTCTAAACATTCATGATAAGTAAAATTAATATATCATATTTGATTGACTTTTTCCGTCACAAAATTTGAGAATATATATGATTTATTAAAATTTTACGTTGATTTAAAATAATCAATTTTGAATTAATAACACGTCACATCTCTAAATAATAATAATAAAAAAAACCAAAAAAAATGCTTATCGATTGTATGAGTAAGCAACTTATTAATTTATGTTAGGTATTAACTTCTCCATATATTTTTTGGTTACCAGAAAATTTTCACATTATTATATTGGGAGTTAATCTTCTAAATATATATAATAATTCGTGTACAAGTTATTATATCATATTTATTATATATTAAATATATATAAAATATAAAAATTATCATATCATAATTATATTAATATATCAAATATAAAAAATGTTTTTTAAATTTTTATCAGATTCATCTACATCTTTGACTAAAATTTTATATGATATTATTTTGTATTAATTTTTATATCATGTTTAAAATTATTAAATCTATTTTTAAAAAGTCAAGAAGTAGAAAAAATTACTACGTGAACCTTTCCATCATCCCTGGATGTGCTGGTATTGTAAAATGAGAATTTATCAATGAGTTTTAATGCTTATCACAACTTTTGAGTTTTATATGATCATAGATTCATAGTTATTGCAGAAATTATCAACTGTCATTAGCAGCCGGAAAGTATCTTACCCAAGACAAGATAAAAGAGGGAACTTATAAAACAGACTTAAATAAATCTCAACAGTGCTGCCTTAATATTCAAGAAAAAGAAAGTTAATCATCCATCCTTAAAGAACTCAAAAGTTCTTGCAAATAGATTGTCACTAGGACATAACAATTCAGGCCACCATCCGATCCGCTTAATTTGATTCACTGCGTCTAGGAGAAGCATGATTATCATCATCGTCATAAATAGGGCTCCGGCTATCCCTAGGGAGTGGGCTAGGGCTGCGGCTTTGGCCGTTTTCCTTTGTGGAGCTCCTATAAGCCCGGTCCTCGGCATCAGCTTCACGATCTGGGGTTCTGCTCCTTCCTCTGGGACTTGCACTGTAGTCCGATCCATTGGTGTGCCTGTGATCCCTTGGAGAAGGGCTACCTCTCTCTTGCGGGCTTCTTTCATCGGGTGCTGGACTATGCTTCTTCCCTCTGGATGGGGATGGAGAACCTCTGTGCCGCTTAGGGCTCCTTGATCTTCTATCATCACGCTCGAAACTTCGTTCTCTCTTCACAGGTGATCTTGATCTACTGCAGATGCTCGAGATTCAGCACAAAGAAGAATAAGCCCGAAAAACAGTTTTAACATACAAAAACAACTGTAGATTAAATCTTCCTCAATTATTTTGACTTGCATGGGCACTTCAATGCTCAACAACAATAGTAAATTCCCACAAGACTGCATTATTCACAGACAGTACTAAAGTAAAATGTCAAAGGTAATTTATATTTCAGAACTGGACTCGGTTGCAAAGATAAACACAAACCTGTTGCTACGCCCCCTGCTGTAACTGCGGCTTCTGCTTCTACCACGGCGGGGGCTAGGTGAGCGTGAGTAACTGCGTGGTCTGCGGCTGCACCAATTTAGTTGTCTCTCAAGTAAACAAACTCAAATTTAAACTGATAAAATATGATAACACTCCTATCCAGACCAAACTGCTCAGAACAAGAAAAAATAGATAGATGGGGGGGAGAGGACCTCAGTTTCTTTGGACTGTTTTGACAATTTCTTTCTATGTGGCCTCGTTCCCCACAGCGGTAGCACTTATTCTTCCAATCCCCAGCTTTGCAATCACGAGCCCAGTGACCATCAATTCCACAGTTGAAGCAGCGGCCTGACCCAGGAGTTGGACCTCTTCCAGCATAATCACGAGATCCACCAGGGCCACGGGGCACCTAAATTGCAAGTCAAATCAGATTCAATGTTCGAACAATATTGACCAACAGACTCCACAAATAAAGTCTAGGACAACAATGGGAAAGAGGAGTGGGAAGTAACAAGATAAAAGGATACAAACTAAATGGCAAGATAAATCAGATTCAATGATTAAACAATATTGACTAACAGACTCCACTAGATGAATCTAGGACAACAATGAGAAAGAGGAATGGAAAGCAACAAGATAAAATGATGCAGAACCAGCATAACTTTCAACATGACACTCAGAAAATCAATCCACCTGCAAGGCAAGTCCTGTACACTACACTTTTCCCCACCACCAACTTTCTCTCATACTTCTATTCAAATGCTGAAACCATGCGGCAAATAATGATATTATAATGGGTAGTTTGTAAAAGGTTTTGATCTCTTTATTATGGGCAGCAGCTATATTGACTTTCATTTGTTTATTTAAACATGGAACTCATAACCATAAACCACAAGAATGGTTATATTGGCTTCACTAGCAAGCTGCAAAACAGTCCCACTGTTTATTGAGACCTACAAGCATCTTCATTTAAATGTTTATTGTAGCCAGCCATTCTGAGAGTTGGGATTTGCTAGACCTTCAAACCCCACCACTGAAACATTAAGTTAGTCAATGGCTTACACAAAATACTTGTTGCCTTTTTCCACAGTAATGAGATTTTAACATTTTAAGAAAAAACATGGATACTAACAAAACTCCTGTCATGTGAAAAGACATCAGAAAACTTACTCCCTTGGCAAATTCAACAATGAGACGGCTTCCATCTAGGTCTCGACCATTCAATGCATACCTTGCATCATCAGCATCTCTAGGGTCACTGAATTCCTGTTATCAAGGAGGCAGACAACACACACACAAACAAAGAAGAAAAAGATCCACAAAAAAAATCATATTTACAACATATGAAAAGTTGTTTTGGTTTAAATTAAAGAGTAATGAAATACATACAACGAATGCGTAGTCGCGCTTCATATCCACATCGCGTATTCTGCGTAAACGGGTGCCAGAAACAGTAAGGCCATCATGACACAATTATCGAAGGGTTGATAGTTCGCTCCTCACAGATGAACCAAAAACACCACTTTTGAGATTGTTGCGATTTCGATAAAAACACGCAATAACACTATAGAAAGACTCGCCAAATCCACCAAGGTCACCCTCTCACCATAGACCTCCAGGTTAGGCAAGAGCCAAGAGACCTTCAACAAGATCATTCAAGTTAAACCACACAGACAGGTGGAGGGCTGCATCATTCTCACTCGTATTTTATAAGGAAGACCAGATGTCAAGCACTACAACAAGGGTTTGGAAGGACTCTATTTTCTCCTACTTCATCGTCACTACACCCTGAACCCATCCTAATGGCTATCAATACAAAAGAATAAAACAATATTGAACACCCAAATGAATAAAAATGAAACGAAACACTTGAAGCAAGTACACTTAATCAAAAGCAGCTACAATTACAAATTTTATGAATTCTTCAACATAACAAAAGACTTGATTACCTCCCATATCTACTAAACATGTCCTCCAGATCACGTGACCTTGTCCTTGAAGACAAGTGACCAACATAAAGGCGAGTACCACTGCGGCGATCATCATACCTTGGCATTTTTCTTTCCCTGCAATAACAATTTCCATAAGAACCAAACAAACATACAATAACACAGAGATTTGCATAACTAAAATACTCCAATTCTTATAACAATTAATAGAAGAAGACTTCTTGTTGTATATTACAGAATCTACAGTCTAATTCAAGTTCAAGACATCTTAAAGCTCTGTTTGGTTGTTATTTTAGTTACTGCTTGCTTTTGTTCCCATTAGATTACTATGGAAGAACAGAAAATCGTATTCAATTTTAAATTTATGATTAAGGGTAAAAAATGCCTTTGAACTATAATTAAAAAATATTTAAGCCCTTAATATTTTATTGTAATCAATCAAGCCATTAATCTTCTATTTCGACTTAATTGAATCCTTAATTGGATGAAATTTAATCACATGACAAAATTGAATCAATCAATCTCCGAACTACCGCTTTGTTTATTTAATTTTAGCATATAGTAATTGCACTGCCGTAAAACTTTTATCTATTTTATATATGTTAGATAAAATTTTATCTTATCTGTTAATTTTTTTCATCCGGATAAAGGCTTAATTGGATGTAAATAAATATTGAAGGGGTTGATTGATTGCAATAAAAAAAAGGAGCTTAGATGATTTTTTAATTATAATTCCGGGTTTTTACATCCTTTAGCCTAAATTTTACATACAACTAAAATGCAATATTCTAATATAAAAGTAAAATCAGGCATAGTTCATGCAAAAACATAACATTTAATGCTTAAGTCTTCAAAAATATTATTTTCTTTGAATCCAATTGCACAAAAAAATAAGTTATAAAAGCAACAACCAAACTGTACCTAAATGAACTCGTGTTTCTTCGAACTGATTATCTCTTGTTATACATATCATAAAACAAGAAAAAATAATATTTTTTTTGAAAAAATAATTTTGAAAATGAAAGAAACATAATTATTTAGCTTTTCAGATTTCAATTTCTAACAGCCTAAATCCTAATTAAAATTGAAAATCATAAAACCTTAAAACAAAAAAATAAATCGATAATACGCATGAAAAATTAACACGAAAAAACAGCAAACTTCAATTTTAAAAGCTAAAGAATCTTTCAGATCTATAAATAAATAATCAAGAAAATTGAGAATTAAAATTGAAAGAAATTAAAAAAGGCAAAAAAAGAGCTTACTGTGAAATTTCAGAGGAAGGAGGCGAAGATGAAAAACCCTAGAATTTTCGAGAAGAGAGAGAGAGAGAAAGAGAGAGAGCGCTTAAACGCGTCGTTTCTATTTTTATTTATAGGGCCTAAGGATATGGATCAGTCAACACTCAAAAATCAATGATTGTGTAATTACCAAAAGATCCCAGTTTTTTCTTGAAATTACGATAATGGGCTTGAAAAAGGTGGAATGTTTTAAACTTGGACCTGGAGCCCCACCCGTTCTAACTTCTAAGCCCGGTAAGAAACGATTTTTTTTTTTTATTTTTTTTCCCTCGAGGAAATAATTATTTTTAATTATTTCTTTTTTATACGAAAGAAATAGAGAGAATAATGGAAAATTGGTGAATTTGTTTTTTTTTTTTTCTCAAAATTCAATTCTTCTATTAAAACTAAATAGATTGATTATTAATAATATCTTATTAATTATTTTGTTTAAAAATAATGATATCTTATTATTTAAAATAAATTAACCAAAATCGATTAAATCAACCGTTAACCAAAAAAAAAATTATTCTTATTCAATTTTCTTTTTATTCAAAAATATAAACGAAAGAAAGGGATCAGTATTTTTTTTAAATTAAATTATTTCTCTATTTATATAATAATAGATTTTTTTTTGTGCAAATGAATTTCAATAATTAATAAATTTAATAATTTATATTGTATTAATTACAAAATATCTTGTTATAATTTATATTTATATTTCAAATACAATATATATTTTAATTAAATTTATATAAGTTTTATTAAAATTTTGAATCATATTAATTTTACATTTTTTTCATATAATTTTATATTATGAGATAATTAAATTTAATAAATCTACAAATCAGGATCATTGATATGATTAGTTTATTCAGATATTTGTATTATATAAAATATTAAAATTTATATATTTATATTGTATTTTATACAAAAATTATATATTATATATAAAAAATATTTTTTGATTTTATTAAACTTATAATAATTATTAAAAATAATTTAAATAATGTTATTTTTATATTTTTTTATATTATATTTGTATATATTATTATATTATGTTTGAGTCAATGTATCCTTTTATTGTCTGCTTTTTTTTCGTTATTGTACAACCACAACGCACTGATCTAAACGTTACAAAGATAACAAATCTAAAAGTTTTGAAGGGCATGCATAAAACCTAATTTACAGGGCATTTCCGCTGTCGAGTTATCCTAGCAACCCAGTCAGCTGCACCATTAGCTTCCCTGCGAACAAGGCCAAGCATGGAAGACTGCCAACCTGCTTTGAGCACCTTTATCTCCTATTCAATCACCATAGTTTCCCAACATCCTTGCTTCAAACCAGAATTCAAACGTGGGATCAGCTCTTCGTTGTTAGACTCAAGAATGACGTTTCTCCATTCCCTTTTATCAACAAGAACGCAACCCAGCCTTAAAGTTAAGGCTTCAGCCACCTGTGCAGATCCTGCATTGAGAAGGACTCGTCGAGATAGAAGCCATACAAACAGGACAAGCATGCTCCTCATTATACTCATGATAGTTCTAGATTGCAGCTTGCTTGGTATTAATCGGATCGCCTAAAAAACCTTGGAAGATGAAATCATTCATCGTTTTCTAGATACGCTAACATAAGTATGCTAACAGCTTTGACGTACAAAAAGCGCCAAAATTAGGGAGGAAGCTGACAACATCATTCCACCATTTATGGAAACCCTCAAAACCTTCCCTTCTCGGCTTGTAGGTAAAAGAAGAGGCACCCCAGACGGTTTCAGCAAACGAGCAATGCTCAAGGGATTCCATTTCTTAATCACACCTGCAGCAGACATTGGGCACAAAAATCCTCCTTCGTACTAAATTCTCCCTCGTGACTAAAACATTATGACACGCTCATCATACAAAGTTTCACTTTTGGTACAACAAGCAGCTTCCACACCTTTTTCCAAAAGCTATGATCAAGCTGTCCCCATTCATTTGAGCATCCAATGTTGCCAAAGGATGATTTGTTTTGGAGGAACTTATAACTATATTTAACAGAATAGCTTCCATCTTTGAGAAATGCCAACCAAGAGAATCACTCCCATTAGGGTGTCCTATGAGTTATACTTGATAACATTGACCTCTTCTTCACTAAAACATTCATTTAGTAAATCAAAATTCCATGCCCTCCTATCCGGACCAATCAAGTGCTGGACCAGTGTAGGACCATTCTCAAAAGGTCTGGTCGAAGAGATTTGGAAAGATTGTAGCGTCGGAACCTATTATCTTGCCAGATGAAAATATATCTTCCATTACACACATTACAGTGCGTTCCCTTCTTTAAAACATCAATCTTTTCATATATGCTTCGCCATGCCCACGAGGATGATCAACCTTTTGGAGCCTCAAGACGGGACGAATGAGGGAAATAAATCCCTTTCAGAATCTTTGCCTAAAATGCATCATGGTTTTTAAACAATCTGCGTGCTTTTTAGCCAAAAGAACTTTTGTTGAAATTTTAAAACTCTCTAAACCCCATTCCTCCTTCGGATTTAGGCACGGAAAGTCTGCTCCATCGCATCCAGTGAATCTTCATATCGTCACCCCCTTTTCCACTCCACCAAAATCTATTCGCCAAAGAATTCAACTCCTGGCAAAAAGAAAGAGGAAGCTTGAAACATTGCATAATATACACCGGAACAGCTGATGCAACAGCTTCTAGCAGCACTTCCCTGTTTGCTTGAGAAAGCAATTTACCTTTCCATGCTTGCATCTCGGCTTGAACTTTATCAAAGATAAACCCCAAGGCATCATTCTTTCCTTTTCCCCATATCGAAAAAAGTCCAAGATAGAAGCTGCTATTGTCCATAGTCTGTACACCCAATCTTTCCTTGATGGCCGACTTCACATCGCCCCTAGCATTAGGCGAGAAAAATAGTAGACTTGGCAAAGTTAACAATTTGCTCGGAGGCCATTTTAAAATTTTGAAGAATATCCAAGATAGAATCACAGTTTTCCTGGTTAGCTGTGGAAAACAACAAGCAGTCATCAGTAGACAACAGGTGACTTAAAATAAGACATCTTATGTTAATTCTATAACCTGAAGTTTCCCCTGATCCATGGGTTTCTCACTCAGTCTTGATAAAACATTCCCAATGAGGATAAAGAAGGTGATAGATGGTTTCCCTGTCCAAGTCCCCTTTGAGGGTGAAAGGCCTCACTTTTTTCCCCATTAAGGATAATAGAGAATTGACGAGTGGACACACACTCCATAATTCTTTACAACTGGAAAAGTTGAAAACCCATCTTAATAAGGAATTTCTCCAAAAAATCCCATTTAACTCTATCATAGGCCTTACTTAAGTCTATTTTGATCGCCATAACCCCTTTAGTTCCCCATTTTCGATTTTTTAAGGCATGAAAAGCTTCATGGGCAACCAGTATATTATCTTCGATCTGTCTCCCAGCAATGAAAGTAGATGGGGTTGGGGAGACAATTAAAGGCAGTAAACTTTTCATTCTTGAAGCCGGGATTTTTTTAGATCACTTTATAAATAAAATTGCATAAACTAATGGGTCGAAACCAAGTGATCTCTTGTGGGTGTTTATACTTCGGCACCAGGACTAAGTTAGTCAAATTAAGTTCCCTTAACATATACCAATTATGGAAAAACCTTTTAACAGTGTTAATCACATCATCTTTTACACAATCCTAAAAATTTTGAAAGAACATACCGGGGAATCCATTCGGACTCGGAGCTTTCAAAGGTCCAAACTCAAAAATAGCATTACGTATTTCCTCATCAGAGACCTCTAGACAGAGCTCAACATTCATCTCGTCAGTGATTACCTCCTTAACAGCACCAAGAACCTCCTCCATATCCCAGAGCTGACCAGCCTTGAACATCTTCTGAAACTGATTTGAAATGTAGTCTGCAATTTCAGATTCCTCTATGATCCACTCCCCATCAACCTTTCTAATTCTGGTGATTGCATTCTGTCGCCTTCATTGAGCAGTCATCGCATGAAAAAACCGTATGTTACGATCCCCATACCTTAGCCAATTAACCTGGGACCTCTGATGCCAAAACCTTTGCTCCATTTGCCATTTCTTATCCGCCGATCTCTTGAGTTGCTTTTCCTCTTCTTTAAGCTCCTCGGTTAGAGCACTTGCCTGAATCATAGCAATTCTGCTCATACGATTAACAATCTCTTGTCTTGGGTTATGAAAAGTGAAAACTTCTTTTGCTCTACTCTCTAAGTTTGTTTCCTATATTTTGGAGTTTTGTTGCATACGAAACATATGAGATCCTTAAGCGTCAGCCTTCCATGCCTCTTGCACCACCTCATTACACTCTTGATTCAAAAGACATTTCGATTTAAACTTGAAATCTCTTTTCCTTCGCCTTTCAAAATTCTCCAAAAAGAAAATCATCGGGCAATGGTCAGAGGCCATCACAACATCCACATAACCATGGGCTACAAGTAAAGCTTCATTCCATTCCACAGTAGCCAAAGCTCATGGATAAGGTGATCCCCTGTTCTATTATTCGACTATGAAAAGCCATACTCTTGTAAAAAGATATCCATTAATCCGCATTCATCCAAGAAGGCGTTGAACTGATCCACCAGACTTCTATCAACTTGTCTACCTCTTTCTTTATCATCCTGCGACCTTATCGCATTAAGGTCACCTATACAACACCAAGACTCTTCCATACTTTGTTTCAGACTTTTAACAATGTCCCAAACATCTCTTCTTCCCTGGTATTGGGGATTCCCATAAGCGAAAGTGCAGAACCAATCCTTGCCGGTTACTAAATCAAGCTTAGCATCAATGAAGAATCCTGAAAAATTAAGAACCTCAAGACCAAAACCATTCACCCACCACAATGCGAGGCCCTCCGATCTCCTCCTTGGCTCAGGGTAAAAGTCTTCCAAAATACCAATCCGATTCTTCAACCTTTCCATTTTTGACTTTTTTTGTTTAGTCTCCATTAGAAAGACAATGGAGGGAGGGCACTTTTGTATGAGCTCTTTGAGAACTTGAATTGCCAAGGGTTGTCCAAGCCCTTAGCAATTCCACGACAATATATTCATTGGCCCCCGTGTGGTTGTTTAAGGTAAGCCACCACCATTCTTTCATTATTTTCTTGCACCTTTAAGGCTTGCATTTCCTCCAGTTCCATATTTGGGATTTCGTAAGCTAAAATAACTTGATTGTCAATCATTTTAAACTTCATTACCTACTTAACATTTCGAAATAGATGTAAATAGATGCTTTAATAGAACCTCATCCTGAGATACCCCAATCAGCTTGAAATCCCACCTCATAAAACCAATATTGAATTTGGGTTTTGAGTTCTAGTCTTTGTTATTTCCCATCTGCCACTCCTCAATTCTCCCTCTCTTTAAACTTCGATTCTTCATCTCCTAGATATCCACCATGCCCATTTTTTCCTTTCCATCATGGTGGGCCTCATCCATTACTCCATCAATTCTATCAATCTCTAGCCCAACTGATTCCTTTGAGAGGACCGGCCTTTGTTCCATCTCTTCTGACTCCCCTTCTCACGTAACTTCCGAGAAATCAAGGAACATTAATGGCTGTCTGAGATCATCTGCTTCTACTGTTGCATCCATGTGCTCTTCTAGCAAAACATTTAATTCTCTGATAGCAACAACAGAAGATTACACACATAACCCAAAAATCGGTTGTAACAAAGTCAATTTCTTCCAGCACCGTTTCCTCTAACCTTTCTTTAAGCATATATGGCTGTCCATCACTGACCATGGGCCCTGTGCCAGCACCAGTGCCTTGTCTCTCTCCTCTTTTAGCACAAAAAGGAATATATTCCTTTCCAGCTCATGCACGACTTCCAAGGTATTATCTATTGGCCAGGCTTTGGACAGGATAGATCTTAAAGGACCCACTTTAATAATTTTATCAGCTACAACCTTACCTATCAAGGAGCAGCTCTTCATCTGTCTGTTAATCTTCATCATCTGTACTGAGCTCCAGGACATCAGGATCAGAACTAATGTCCTACTGTGCCACGCCACCAACCTGATCTGCTTTGATGCAATTAAAATAGTATTAAGCTTTCATGGCAGAATTGTATTAACCATAATTGCCGACTAGAAACTGCAACACAATGAGAAAGCCTTGTCGCCGCAAGAACCTTCAGAGCTTCCCTTGGAAGCTCCAACTAATAAAAATTAAAAAAAATCAAAATTAAAACAATGTTTATAAAACAAAGTAGATCGTAGCAAGAAAGCACAAAAATAATAATGGCCGACAAATGCACGTGGTTGATTTATTGTGGAGTTACATCGCCTTCGTTAAAAAACGTGGCAATCTCCAATTGGACCACGTGTTCCACCGTGACACAATAAACTTTAAAATTAAAAAAAAAAAAATTCTCTATATAACCCTCAAACCCTGCCGAGGATACACGCATAATTAGATTCCCTTACTTTCATTTTGGTTGAAGTTTCGATTTTTTTCTCTTTGTTTCGATCAGGTATTTTCTTTTTCTTTCTTCTTTAATTTCTTTTTTTTTTTGTATATTTTCCGATTTTTTATTTTAAGAATTATTATTATTATTACTATTCGGTCAACGTTTCTTGTTTGATTTTGATTTCATGTACTTCTCCTGGAAATTGATTAAAGTTTTTAATTTTTGTTGAATTTTTAGGTTGTATTTATCTTGTTTCAGTATCTCGATATGATTTGTCTTGATTTTTTTCTTACCTTTTTCCATCTTTGTTGATTTAATTCAGTGCAAAAAATGATCTTTTTTGTTTTGAAATTTGATTGGGATTAGATTTAAAAAAAAGGGTTAAATTGTGGCTAATTTGTTGGTGTTAGGTTATTTAATTTTGAAACTTATGAATGATTATATGAATCTCAAGCCAACTTTTGACTGTAGAAATTTGCCCTTTTATTTTTTGATTGCAGGTGTTTCTTACTGGTTTTGTTTTTGGGTTGTTGGGGGGAGGAGGAGACAATTAGAAATGGACTTAATTCTTGTCCATAATTGAATTAGATTTGAAAGTTTTGCATTTTGAATAGGGAGGGATTAGAGGGTATGGTTTAAGAGAATTGTTTCATTGGAAACTGATTTTGAAACGAAGAAGGGCGGGCCAGTTACAACGCGAATATTTGGGATAATGCCGGTATCAGGAAATGAAGAGGTGTTTATCTTTATCTTTATTTATTTATTTATTTTTTCAAGTTACTAGCAACTAAGCTTAGGGAAACTTGCCATTTTTTTATGTTTTTGTGTTGAATATTGATTAATTTATTTTCTATTGGTAGATGGGGGTGAAGCCCACTGTTGGGCAGTTTAGTGAATATAGTGCAGGAATTCCAATAAAGAAAAGGAGGTTTCCTTTTATTTTGTCACCTTCTCAATCATCCGAATATACGGCTTCACTACCAACTGAGAATGAACCAGAGCAGAAAGGATTTTCTCGTCCTCTTCAGGGTTCAACTATTTCAAATGATAGTGTTGTTGCTACGAGTTCAAACACCAGTGGTGTTGAAGGAAGTTTATACACTGGTGGTGCTGCAGGGAGTTTAAATGTTAGTGGTGTTGCTGTGAGTTTGAATGCTGGTAGTGTTGGAGCAAGTTCTAATGCTTCTTGTGTTGCAGTGATTTCTACTGCTAGCAGTGTTACCACAGGTTATAATGCTAGTAGTGCTGTGGAAACATCTAATGCTAGTAGTGCTGCAGCAAGTTTTCCAAATGTTACTAGTATTGCAGCAAATGTTTCCAGCTTTTCTGATGCATGTGAGAAGTCTATATGTGAGAAAGGGAAGAGAAGTTCTGATGATGCAAATGGTAGCATGGTGCAGGGTAATAGCAACCTCCTTATGGTAAAACTTGAAGAACAAAGCTTTGCAGATCACTCTAGGTCTTTGGCTGACATTGACAACAAAGGGAAGCTTGTGGCAACTGGAGAATCCTACAATATCCCGAGAAAGATAGCAAATTCTGAGTTGGACTTAGTAGGTAATGATTCTCTTACCCTTAATATCGGGAAGGATATACATAGCCAGCAAAATATAGATGCAATGTGTAGGTCGCAATTATCTACAGTTTCTGGGAACCCTGGATTGGCATTAGGTTTAAGGGAATGTCTTTCAGCAATGACTAGTGGAAATAATGAGCATGGTTTTCAGAATCAGGAAAAGGCAGAACCTGTTTCATTGAATTTATCTTTAATCAAAGGAGAATGCAGTACTCAACTTAGTATTGCTGATGTCCTGCCTAATATTAATGGTGCTAATATACTGACTGACAGAACAAATTGGGATTTGAATACTACGATGGATTCTTGGGAAGGTACTGCTAGTGATGATGGTGCAAGTAAAAAAACTACTCATACGGATGATATAAAGCCGTTAATCTACTCAGCTGGGATGACTGCTACCAGTATTCCTACAGAGCGGAAAGTACTTCAAGAGATGGAGTGCAGAGCCAATATTGAAATGTCTTCTATGCTATCTAGCCAGCAGTATAGCACTGAGGATTCACTTTGTTTGGGACTCACTATGCCTTATCTTCAATTGAACTCCAATGAAAAACCTTCTGGCTCATCAGTTAAAGTGGATTCGTGCGAAGTTGTTGCAAATATCAGCTCACCTGGAGAATCAGTGACTGTCAGCAAGCTGAACATGGTTAACTTAAAGCCTGTAAAATCAGACTCATTAGTTAAAGTGGATTCGCGCGAAGTTGTTGCAAATATCAGCTCACCTGGAGAGTCAGTGACTGTCAGCAAGCTGAACATGGTTAACTTAAAGCCTGTAAAATCAGAACCACTTGATGAGAGCATCAAAACTAGTTCTGCTGGAGTCAAAGCCAAACCTATGGGCTTGTTAAATATTACAAAGGTGAAGTGCGAAGTAGTTGAAAAGTGCAGCTCAGAAAGTTCAAAATCTTCAACTCTCAGTACCTTAAATTTAGTTAATGTTAGATCCATAAAACCTGAACCAGTGCTTGAGGGTGACCAGGAAACACCAAAGAGAATGGAAGGATTATTGAATCAATCAGTTGATCCAATGCTATGTCCTCTGGATACTACAACAGTACTTACTTCTACTAATTTGTCATTAAATGGTGATGCCTCAAGTCATGTGGAACATTTTGTTAAAGCCAAAGAAATTGAGCCCAGCGGTGAGGGCCAGGTTGCTTCTAAAATGATTTCTTCTGCAGAACATGATGTTAATGAATTAAACATTTCTGGTAAAATAGATAACTCTACTTCCCAAAATAAGAATGTTGAAGATCCTGATCATTGCAGACTGAAATTCATGGATGTACAACTGCCTGATTCAAGGGGAACAATTGAGGGTTCTGTAAGTGACGAGGAAAAGATTAATTTATCAGGTGATATTCTAGAGGATGATTCATGTGGCACTGATTATGAGTCAGGTGGCAAACGAGAGTTAGCTGCAGCTATGGATATGGAACATGATGGCAGAACAGATGGTGAAGTCGGAGAACCTGTAGAGAACACTGAGATAGAAGTTCCAATATGTGAGAGGCGAGAGGCAGGAAATGGAAATAACGGTGATGCTGGCTATAGAAACTCAGATATTGTAGGGTTTGTTGGTGATAGGAATACATCTTCATCCTTTGTCAAAGAAAAGGAAACTCAAAGAGAAGACCCTGGTAAAACAAGTAACGATAATACTAATGAATGCATTGACACATCTGTCAATAAGGATTCCACTACAGAAGCTGATAAAGAGGTTCGTTTGCAAGAATCATCTGTTGTTGAGATGCCTTCCGGTCAAACTGACAAAAAGAGACTCGTTAATGTCATGCCAAGAAAATCACTTGATGTATCAGAAAAGAAGGATATTGTTAAAGGGCAAGAGGGAGAGCTATCATCTGTCCAAGACCATGATACAAGCCAGGGAACTTCAGTGACCGTTGCTCAAGGTGCAGGTGATGCTAATAAACCTGATTCAGAAGGAAAAAGCAATTCGGTTTTACCTAAGGCAGATGCATTTTTAAATGGTGAAGATGCAGGTAAGGATGTCAACAACGGAGGCAATAGGAGTCGAATTATAAACTTATCTCAAGCTTCTAATCTGTCATTTCGTGGTAGAACAAGATCTATTTCAGGCAGGACAATGCAGTCTCAAGTTGGAAGAGGGAGACTGCTTGATGTTGCCTTTGAAGGAGATAAGTTTCATTCTCGAGGGAGGTGATTATTGTTATTTATCATTCTTGCTTTATTTTAGTTTGTTTATTTCTTTTGATAATTAATAAATGTCTCTTTTAATTTTTCTTCCTTGTGACAATGTTTACCTCAGAGATGAAGCTTATGGTGACGGTTCACATAGATTCTCAAGAGAGAGGCATCATGATCAGCCATCTGGAAACAATAGAATAAGTTTTATGCGTGGAAGAGGTAGGATTTCCAGTCAGATAGACACCCTACGTGGTGATCGGGATTCAGAATGTAACTTTGCTTCAGAGTTTTATAATGGTCCTATAGAATCTTGTGTTGTCAGACATAAATATGCATCTGCTGTTTCTGATGTTGATCCTAACTTTAGTAGCTATAATAATGGGCAAGATGGTGCATATTTTGGTACTGGACGAGGTAATAGAAAGATCTTGAGTGATCATTCATCAATTTCCCCCCATTTTCCTTCAGGGAGGCGGTCTCCTGGTGGAAGAGATGGACCTGCTGTACGCAGGCTGCCAATGGTTGGCAGGGTTCAAAGAAATCTTAGTCCAAGTAGATGCATTGGTGAAGATGGATCTGAAGTTGTTGGACTGCGGCATACGAGTGTTTTAGCTGATAACCATACAGACCCAATGTTTGCGCGCTCCCAACCTTCATTTGAGGGATTCGATGGTCCTTTTGTCAGGGGGAACAGGGAGTTTTCATCTGTTCAGAGAAGGGGTCTTCCCCAAATTTGTTCAAAGTCTCCGACCAGACCACGAACTCGTTCTCCTGGTCCATGGTCTTCTCTGAGGGGAAGACCACCAAATGGACTTGGAGGGCCTTTAGAATTACCTCATCGAAGATCACCACCAATTTACAAGACGGAGAGGATAATATCACCTGATCATCCTTGTTTCGCTGGAGACATGGTTCTTAGATGGCATGGATCTCCTCCATATTTGTCTCGACCATCTAATGATGTGAGGGATCTGGATCCTGGTCGACATCCAAGGTCTGGCATCCCTACTAGGAGCCCATCTGGTCGGATTGTACTTAGAAACAGTAGACGGTTGGAACTTGTAGATCCTCGAGAAAGGAATGAAGGTGATAATTATTTTGGAAGGCCCTTGCCATCTGGCAGGTTTCATGAGCTTGGTACTGATGGTAATGCTGATGAGAGGAGGTATGGTGATAGACGAGGGCCTGTTCGCCCTTTGAGGCCAACTTATAGTGGTGCTGATAGTGAGAATTTCGATCTTAATGCTGAGGGTGGCCCTAGATCCTTTAGGTACTGTCCACAAGATGATCTGGAGTTACATGAAAGAGGAAATATGAGGGAAAGGGAATTTGATGGACATATAAAAAATCCACCAGGAAATCCTCCTAGGAGGACAAGAAACATTGACGAGCAGGAGGGAAATTTCAGGCATGGCAGTCAGGTTTGGCATGGCGATGAATTTGATGATACGTCACGAGTAAAGCGAAAACGATTTTGAGTAGGTTTGTATATGCCATTAGTCACTGTTAATGGTGTAAATTATTGGAGCAGCAGGGCAGAGCCTGTTACATTTACTGCATGGTTGAGGATACTGTGTTTAGTGCTTACCATTCTTGACTATTTTCTGCATATGCCATGATTCCTTGTTTAGGATGTAAAATGAAATATGGAAGCAACAGCTAGAAGAATCAGCTGATGGTAATTTTTAGTGCAATGGAAGCCTGTGTACTTTGCCTGAAGAACAAATCTGTTTGACAGGTTTTGATGAGACAACTCAAACCTTCTCTGTCACCCTAACTTGGTATTTGCTGGTTATTCCTTTGGGCAGACCTATCTCTAGTGGGGAAAAGGCGAGTGGTTGCATTTGAAAGAACAAAAGGAAGCAAAGCGAATGATCAATTTATCTATTACTATATGAATAAATTCGCATTTGTTTGTGCTTCGCAGCTGATCATCACTTTAATTGCAAAAATGGTATGGCTTCATGTGGTCTGGATTGACTTTCTGTTTATAAATGCCATCCCTGCAAGGTACCAGCAGTTAGGTGACACTGTTTGCAAGCCTTTTCAAGGGACAGTTGGATATCGCCCTGAAAATTGAAAATGCTGCATTTTACTGCAATATCTTCCTTTACTGGTGCTTTAACTCTTATTGCATCTGAACATAATCCAAGTTGTGTGATGAGAATTATTGGATCTGGCCTCCGGTTTTGGTTCAGAGCAACCGGTTATTCTGTGAACATAATCTATTATTCCAGAAGAAGCAAATTCTGAACTTTTTTCACCGTCTTACCATGAGATGTGGATCAGCTACATCAGATTTTACTTTCATAGTCACACTGTGGTGGCTTCTGCATTGAATATATATGTTTTTTGTGCTTCAAATCAGTCAGGGTTACCACCATCGTTGCGGATAGGGATCAGGTCTCATTTGGTATGCTGATGTATTGTTGAATATTGCAATTTATGGGTCTTATTGTTGCTTTTGTTGTCACCTGTATCCTTGAAATTTATTGGTTGAAAGTGATGGTGGGTTTGATTCTTCACAATTAGGGGTCCAGTAATAAAATGCATTTTCTGATGCGGCGGAGACCCTTAAATCGGATTCTCAAATGGGTCCTAAGCGTCTAAATTTCCAGAAAAAAAAAAAGGCAACATGGGTAGAATTTGATCATTATATGAAATGAAGCTGTGACAATGCATTGGATGTTCTGTTGGGGATGGTTTAACTGGCCTCCATCAAGAAAAACAGTTTGGGATTGAAGCTGGTAACACAAGGCAATGATGTTGAAATATTCTCAAGGCATAGGCATTCTGGGTAATTGGTCTTCAAGGGGTAGGACAAAAAAAAAGAAGTATAAATGGTAAGACATAAATTTGAAAAAAAAATGGTAAAAACATTGTAAAAATTCCAATTGGATTGGAATGGGAAGATTATAATTCAATTTTAACGAGCTAAACCCTAAAGCCCAACTTAAATTACGACAGGTCAATTTAGATCTCTTTGGCTTTATAAAATCACATGAGAATGTGTTTTTATATTATTTTCTTATTGAATTAAATACATATAAAATAGTAAAGTTTATTATATCAAATTCGTATTGGTATGTAACATATAAAATATATATTTTTAATTTTACATTAAATTTATATATAATTTTTATTAAAATTTTAAAACACATCTTTCTTATATTTTTATATTTATATATTTAAAATTATCAAATTTGTAAAAACCTTATAAAGAATAATAAGTTATCTACTGTAAGCCTCATAAAAAATAATAATAAGTTAAACATAACAAACATGCTTTGGATCTCAAAAGTTTTATCAACAAAAATCTAATTCGATTCAATCAATTGTTTTTGATGATAAAAAGTTTTGAATTCAATACCTTATTCATCTCCGGTATATATTTTATAAATAATATTACTTTAAAGTAATATTAATGAGTTTCTCTTGAAAACCGAATTTTTTATTTTATTTATGAAAAATATTATTCTTTTTATTTTAAATTATTTGAATGTTATTGATTTTTATGAAGTTTAAGAAAAAAATTTTAAATTTAAATTTAAATTTAAAATTTTTTATAAAATTAAAATTTCATAATTTTTAATATCAAAAATTAAAAATTTACAATATAAAAAATCAGAGTTTTAAGTATTAAAAAAAGACTATTTCAAAATTGGTAATAATTCAAACTCAATAAATCAAAACGACGGCCCTAAAAGCGATTAAACGACGACGAACTTATAAACAAACACAATTGCTTCTCATTTTCTTTGTTTTTCATTTATTTTCTTTTTCTTTTTGAGTTTCTCCTGGTTCTCTTTCTGCTTCGTCTGTCTTTCTTTCAAGCTCGCGGGATTTTATTTATTTTTTTAAATTCAAATTTTTTGTTCGTTTTATTACTTGATAAAATCCAATATTCAATTACTTTGGACGTATATATTTTTTAATTTCTGGGTTTTCTCCTTTGATCCCAAAGCTTTGTTCTTTGCCCCTGAAAACCCTCAAAGTCTTTACCTTTTCAACATCAGGGTTTTTTTGAAGGAAATAGGTCAGTTTCTTTTTAATTTACCTAGGGTTTTAGGGGTTTTTTTAATAATATTTTCTAATTGTTATTTCAATGCGAAAGTTTCAACTCTTTTGGTTAATTTAATTATTGATTTGATGAAACTTGGTCGTTCTTTTTGAGGTGCTAATTCTCTGCTTTTGCTTTTTTTTTAAATAAAATATAGGGATGATGATTATGAGATGATGAATCAAGCTACTAATACTCAAACATTAGCTTCACTTGGCCCGAACTCCGTCAAGGTAATTTCCTTTTTTTTTTTTGAAAAAAAGGCTAAAATGGTTAAAAGAAGTTGATTTAACTAATCGGTTGGGTTAAAACTTTGTTAAAATTGTTTCGAATGAATTTGCTTAGGAATTTCAAACTTGAAAATCAAAGGTTGTAGCAATGTTTGTGATAAATTGAGTTGGAAGTTTCTAAGTTGTTTAGTTAGGTTTTGGTGCTTTAGGTATTTGGTGGTAAATAATGTTGCTGGTTGTGTTTAGTTGAAAATTGGATTAAAAAGTTGTTGAAATCGAAAACTAAGGGAGTTGTTTTGCTTCTAGATTGGATTGAAGTAATATTTAGTTAGGTTTAAGCGCTTTACGCATTTTTGAAGTGAAGAATGTTTCCTGTTGTAAATTTGGTTTAGTAAGAATTGAAATCTCAATTTAAATGTAGTATCATTGCTTGCAATGATTTCAGTTTGAAGTTTCTAAGTTATTAGGTTAGGTTTTGGCTCTTTAGGCTTTTCTGATCGGCTGAATTTGTTTGATGTGAACTGGATTGGTTTAGAGTTGTGTTAATAAGGTGTTGGAATCATAAACTGAAGGGCATTGTTTGTAATGAATTGAGTTTGAAGTTTCTAAGTTGGTTAGTTAGGTTATAGTACTTTAGGCATTTTGAAAGTGAAGAATGTTTCTTGTTGTGAACTAGGTTTGAATTTACATCAATGGTTTGTTTGAAAAAGGATAGGTTATTATGTGGTGGTGGATTCTACTTGTACATGCTACATCCAAGTTAATGCATGTTTTAGAAGTAATCAGATTTGAAGTTTTGAATTTATGAGAACCTTATATTAGATAAATGATATACTTTCATAGTGATTGGCATCTGAATTCTGTTATTTTGGTTGGTTAACTTGTCATTCATTTACTTTTTTTTTTCCATTTTTTTTTCAGAATCAATGTGTTGTTAATAAAAGTCAGGGGCAGACATCTTCATATGTTCCCTCAACAACTGGTTCTGAAGTTGTATCATGGAACATGTATAGGGTGGATAATCACTCTGTAGGAAATGGAAGTTTATCGAATTCCATTTACCACCATGTGCAGCACACAGAGCCATCGACAAGAACCATCCAGGATGGGTCAAATGCAGCATCTCTTGCTCCTTCATCAAGCGTAGGATTGACAAATGCACAACCAGTCTATATTGGCTATAATTCATACTCAAATTCCGCTGATCCTTATTCATATGGGAGTACAGGATACCAAGGTTACTATAATGGTTATCAGCAACAACCTAACCACTCTTACTCTCAGCCAGTAGGAGTATATCAAAACACAGGTGCTCCTTATCAGCCTCTTTCCTCATTTCAGAATGCAGGGTCTTATGCTGGGCCTACAAGTTATTCAAGCACTTACTACAATCCTGGTGATTATCAGACAGCTGGAGGTTACCCAAGCAGCGATTACAGTCATCAGACTACCACATGGAGTGAAGGCAACTATGCAAATTATACTACTCACCAATATTCAAACTGCACTCCAGATACAAGTGGGGCTTACACTACTGGTAATGCAGCGACAAATTCATTGCATTATCAGCAGCATTACAAGCAGTGGGTTGATTATTACAATCAAACAGAAGTTACCTGTGCCCCAGGAACTGAAAATTTGTCTATTGCTAGTACATCCACTGAGGTGTCTCAGGTTCCTAGTGTTAGTGGTGGATATCCTACTTCAAACAGCCCTGCTCCCCTATCTTTTACCCCATCTTGGAGGCCAGAGTCCAGTTCATCTCTAATGCCTTCATTGCAGGTTTGAGTTTATGTTGCATGCATAGTGCCAGATTAGCTGAATTCATACATAATGATGACTTGTTTGTGCTAACTGCTAATCTTAAAATCTGTGTTCTATCATTATTGTTTTTTGAACTTTTTCTGTATTAGATAATTTTTTAATTGTTGAAGGTGATTGTTATTGAAGGGTGCTGTGCATCTATCTTACTTATGTTTCTATTTTGTTGGAATTGATGTATTGTATGGTAGGTGCAATACTGTTTGTGTGATTCTTATTGATCAATTTTCTGATTTGATGAGATATTTCTTCTTGCATGGACTGCATCTTAACCTGGTAAACCTATTATGTTTCATCTGTCTTTGGTTGATTTTTCGATCTATTATTTATATTTAGTGTCATCAATAATATTCTTCTCTAATTTAGATATTGAATTTTGGATGCCGTACTAGAATGTTGATGCATTTTATTGAGCATCCAACAGAGGTAAGATTTCATTGTTCTTAAGATGAGGGATATTTGGAATTTAGCCTTCCTTTGTTTTTGATATGAGTTATAGCATGCTATGCATGACATATGGTAGTACGTTTGCTTGAAATTCTGCCCCTTAGAGGCTTAGACAAACATTTCCTCTTTCTGTGGTAAAATCAGGACCATTGCTGCTTGTGAATCTAAAGAGTCCTAAGGTGTTAACTCTTTGTTCTAACATAAAGACAGTATACTAATGGTATTATATCTCTTTATTTCAGAATTAGTGAAATAGGGCATTTGATGTATCATCTAACAGATTTCTCAAACCCTTACAAGTATTTATTTTATATATTTTTGAGTTTTGTAGTGGGATGATGTTTCTGGATTTATGACAATGTGTTAAGCCATGTTGTTATGATGTGAGTATGATTAGTTTAAATTCCTCGGTTCTTTTAATGTTGCAACTGCTATCAAAGAGCTATTTAGATAGAAAATCTCTTGTCTGCAAGCCAAGGGCTTTTGATGGTCATGGCAAGATTTGATTTTTATAACTGTTCTGGGTTTTGTTGCCAGTGTGTAACCATCCGTGAGAAGGTGTATTGTGTTAGATATGGAACAGTGTGGATGGAAGTATTTTAATGCTACTATTTGTTTGAGGTGGAATGCTTGTCTTAACTTTTGCATTATGTTGGTAAAAAGGGTAGAATTTAGGAAGGGAACAAAAATCATTTGGCTTGAAAAAATTATAAGCTTTTTAGTTGTCTTAACACATAAAGCTGCACCTTATGTAGGGTTGGTGTGCAAGGAGAATCATTGCTTGTTTTTTTCACTATGGTAGCCTACTGGTTGGTAGAATCCCACTTCCCCAGGGTTTACCTGGTCCCTTTCCTCTAACCAAACAATGGAGTGATGTTTGATAGTTATAACAACCTTTCAGAAGGTTTTGCTTAAGGGGGCATAAGGATATGAAGGAATTGTTCTATGAACTGTTATCAAGGTGATGCCTGTTGTGCATGATGTGATAATAATTCTGATTCTATTGAAAGTCCTGGGGATAGTTGCTTTTTGTTAAAGCTTTTAATTAAATTCTTCATCATATAATGCTCCTGAAGAAGAATGCATTTTATACTCCTTGGAAGACTAAATGATATGGTGCATCCAGATTGCAAGGTGGATTTCATGTTCCACTTGCACAAGAAAAATGATGAATTTATGTGCTTCTCATATTATAATGCATCACGAATTGTATGAAAAGGAATATCGTAGGAATTATGTGCTCCTTGTAGTTATAAAATTGATGGCTACGATTGTAATAGCTATGTTATCTTCATGGATGCCTATTTAACCACGTAGTTTCCCTTTGTTAGTAATTGCATTTAACTTCTATTTAGCTATTTGAATTTTAATGTTTTACTTGAATTTTTTTTTCATCTTTTTGTGCTCTTTTTGGTCAGCCTGGTGCAACAGTCACTGGTTCTTATGATAGTTGCTGGAAACATGGGGCTCCAAGTTTTCAAAATCAGCATCCTAGTCCTGTACAGCCACATTTTCAGAAGCCTTCGGATTCAAAATCTTCATATGATAACTTTCATGAACAACAAAAAACCGCTTGCCCTCAAGGTCCCGATTTACAGTATCCTGTGGCTCAGCAGGCACCTCAAAATTACCAACCGCCTTTGCAAACTGTTCAATCATTAGACACACGAAGGGTAAGCAAACTGCAGATTCAAACAAACCCCAGAATTGCTTCTAATTTGCCATTGGGTTTACAAAAGTTGGACAAGGATGTCTCTAACAACAGTGCAGTAGCAAAACCTGCTTATATCAGTGTTTCACTGCCAAAACCCAGTGAGAAAGTGTTGCCTGATGATGCAGCTGATTCTGTTCTCAAGGTGAGCCTTCTGATATGTGTACTTGTGTTTCTTCAGAATAAACACCATAGGGATTTTGTAAGACTTTCTGTTAGAAAATGAGGAGGTGAGTAAGAAAGCTGCCTCCAGCCACACTAGGCTGAACATGTGCACGCTAGTACCAGAAACATGTATTACCTTGTCTAATCTGAATTGCTTTGTTTGCCTGAAGCTCTGCAATTCAATCACCTATTATTGGCGTAGTCTGTTATAAGAATTTATGATTTCTTGGGCTCTTAATAAGTGCTTGAGTGCTGTAATGTTATGGGATTTGCCTCAGGGAAGTATTTCACTGTAGATTGAAAATGCTTGAGTGCCAGTATTCTGCAAGTGAATGGTGTTCTGTCTTTAGTTTATTTATTCTACTTGTGTATAAAATCGTGATAGATGCCTAGGAAATTTTAACCTGGGTAGTGAACTTGTTTGGTCATGATTAACATGTTTGCCTAAATAATGCTTAGGATTATTTAGCTTTGCTGTGTCTGGAGATAAATCCTTGATGTTATAATTCAATGTGCAAGGTTGTTGCTTTGTAAAAAAGAATTATTACATTCAAACTGGAATTTGTAGTTTGCAAGACATTATTAAGTTTGATGAACTAATGTTGTTTTAAAATATTGTATATGCATGCATATTTCTCAGTGTTGTGTGCTCTTGATGTGTTATTTGCTTGTCCCTTGTATTTAAGGAAGTCCTGTTGTTCATTTGAGGTGCAATCTTCATTTCCATATTGGCTTCCAATACTGTATTATGGAGTGTTGAATTAAAATGCATCTCCACATAAATGCAGTAAATAATAATGATTTAAACATAAATCAGTATAAATTGGTCTGAAGTTCTTTAATCTCGTAGATTTAAATTGTATAGTTTACTTGTAAGCCCCCACCCTCCAAAAAAAAAAAAAAGAAGACTTGTGGTTTATGCTTGTCAGGTTATGCTACAACAATTAATGGCTAAGTTGTTGCTTGCAGGCTGGTGTGTTCCGAAAATCATTGAAGAGTTATGTTGAAAGGGCATTGGGTCAATGTAAAGATGAAAAGCAAATGACAGCTTGCCAGGAAGTCATGAAGGAGGTGAGGGTTTTTTTAGTAAATCATGTCTAGCTGTTGCTTAAAATATGTGCAAAATGAATTGTTTTTTTTTTTTTTATTTAATTTTTTCTCATGCCATTGTAATCAAGTACTCTTTAAGAGTTTTTAATGAATTCTTAACATGCTGACAATGATAAGCTGTTTAACTGAAAAATTATAGTGTATCTCTAGACAAATTGTATCTTTACAATTTGACAGGCCAGAGGGAGGGCTAACTTGAACCCTGGATAGCTAACAGCCACTAGGCTGACCTTCTGTTGTTAACCTCTCATTCTATTTAACAGTTCCTTCTGATATGAATTTAAAAGAAGGGACTGGGCCCACTAGAAAGGAAGATTGAGATCAATGATTCCTGTGCCTAGCTTTATGGTCTGATATCTGACAACTTTCAAATTTCCTACATGTATATTTTTATGTTTCTTTATGAGGGATGCTATTATAAAAGTTACTTTATGTGGTTCAAAGTTACTGAGATTTATTGGTTTCTACTTGTTAAATATGCTATAATTTCTGGACATTTTGATGTGTTTGAGTTTATTTTTGTATTTCTGTAGTTCTACTTGCCATTGCAGTATGTTTCACTATTTTGTGCAGGATGCACATTGACTCTTCCCCTTCACTTCCTGCTGTCTTCTTTCAGATAATTACCAAGGCAACTAATGATGGCACACTTCACACACGAGACTGGGATGCTGAGCCTCTCTTTCCAATACCAGATGCAGATATGACTAATACGAAGTATGTTTTCTAGTTCCATATCAATGCTTGATTTGTGACTTGCGTTTATCTGGAAATATATGGTATTTTTTTTTGGTTGTGATAATAATTTTGTTCTGCCTCCATCCTTATTCCTCTCTTCCTTTCTTTTTTAATCTTGTAGCAGCAATTTACAAAATACAACCCCTGTTTCTTTATTCCCAAAGTACAAGAAGAGTCCAACTAGACGATCCAAGAGCAGATGGGAGCCTTTGCCAGAGGAGAAACCTGTTGATAAATTGGTTTCTGTCAACAATTATGCAGTAAAATATAGTAGCTGGGCTCACGTCAATGAAAAGGACAGAAAGGTAGTATCGAATTCTGTTGGCATTTGTTCTTTCATAGCAATACTATGCCTAGGGTTATACATTCTTTTTGTAGCATGGGTTGTAGTATGGGTTTAGTGATATCATTTGTTCTTAAGGTGTCGCACTTCTGCTACAAATATTGTAATCAGCTTTCTTTCTTGAATAAATTATTCTTCAGCCTGCAGGTGCAAATTCTGAGGGGAAGACTGACGTTATGAATGACATTAGGTTTCTGCTGATGGAGCAGAAATCTGCTAGTAAAACTCTACAGAGGCCAGTTAAGAGGCAGCGTCTTGGTGGTGTGAATGCTGCTGATAGTGATGATGCATCTAGTGATAGTGATAAGGAAGATAATTTAATAGTATATAATTCTGGTGCAATTGCACTCGCTAAAACACCGGAGGAAAGAAAGAGACGTGAAAATCGTTCTAAGCGTTTTGAGAAAGTGCAAGGAAATCAAGCACAAATTAATCACTTTAAGGCCAAAAATGCTGGCAATGGAAACCTATATGGTAGAAGGGCTAGTGCTTTGGTGCTTAGCAAAAGCTTTGAAGATGGTGGCAGCAGGGCTGTTGAAGACATTGACTGGGATGCATTAACTGTGAAAGGAACATGTCAGGAAATAGAGAAACGATATTTGCGTCTTACTTCTGCACCAGATCCCTCCACTGTAATTATCACTATTTCATTTTGTTGTAGTAACATGCATTCTTTCTTTAGAAATATTTAGGAAGAATCAAGTTATTTGCTTATTATTGAGCGTTATTGATTGACAGGTAAGACCAGGAGAAGTTCTGGAAAAAGCTCTATCTATGGTTCAAAATTCTCAAAAGAACTACCTCTATAAGTGTGATCAGTTGAAGTCTATTCGCCAAGACTTAACTGTCCAAAGAATCCGTAACCAGCTAACAGTTAAGGTATTTCTGATGCATATCCCTGTCTCCCTGGGAAAAACAATATGTTTATAATGATGAGGGTTTTGTTTTACTAAACAAATAATTCCTGGATAGTATATGGATTTTCAAGCTTAATTTCACTGGTAATCAGGTTTATGAAACTCATGCTCGATTGGCATTGGAAGTTGGGGACCTGCCTGAGTATAATCAGGTTTGCACTTTAATAACATTTTGTTATAATTTCTTGTTTGGAATAGCTTGTTTGCTTGCTTTTATTAAATTGTCTAAAGTATCACACGTGGTTTCTTAATGAGATTATTCTGTTTTTCTATATGACGGATGTCTTTTTCTTTCGACTGCTGTGTTTGTGTATCAGATGTGGCCAATTAGTTTGCCACCAAACTAATTCTTAGCCCTGTTTGCAAAGCTAAATTAACATGTTTTGCTTTAAAGAAAATGCGGATAAAACATACTCATGGACACTAGCGTTTAGTGTGTTTAGCTATTGCATGAAACATTAGCGTGTCTTGCTAGTTTTATTTCAGTTCTATCTTTTGGTGACACTGTTTTATGTCACTTAAGTAATGTTTAGCGAAAATTACTGTAGTTGATCTTGGAAGATGTGGCAACCAATATTTGATGCAAAGTGTGATATAATGAATGTAAATAGATTAAGTGTTACTATTTTACCTTTTTAATCTTATTTTCTTTTCTTTCTTTTTTGTCCCATTGGGTTCAGTGCCAATCACAGCTGAAAATACTTTATGCTGAAGGAATTGAGGGCTGTCATATGGAGTTTTCCGCTTACAATTTACTTTGTGTTATCATGCACTCAAATAATAACAGAGATCTCTTATCATCAATGTCAAGGTTAGTAACGTTTCTTATATTGATATATATACCAGATTTTTTCCTTGATTTCTTGAATTATGTCAACTATCCATTATGCTAATATTGACACAGAATATCCTATTATTTCTGCTTTCTAGATTATCTAATGAAGCAAAGAAAGATACAGCTGTTCAACATGCACTTGCAGTTCGTGCAGCGGTGACTTCAGGAAATTATGTTATGTTTTTCAGATTGTACAAAACGGCACCTAACTTGAACACCTGCCTTATGGGTAAGTGTGTACTACTGGGTTATCTCAATGCTCATAACCAATTACATATATCAAAGAAGTGCTAAGGTTTCTCTTTCATTTGTTCTTTCTGCAGATCTTTACGTCGAGAAAATGCGATATAAGGCTGTAAGCTGTATGTCTCGGTCTTATCGTCCTCAGGTACCTATTTCATACATTGCTAGGGTGCTGGGCTTCAGCAGTGGTATGCCTACAAATGAAGGAAGTGATGAGAAAGACTCAGATGGATTGGAGGACTGTGTTGACTGGTTGAAGGCACATGGCGCATGCCTTGTTGCCGATAGTAATGGAGAGATGCAGCTTGATACTAAGGTATTCTTAATATCATCTTATTACTATCGGATAATTAGCGATATACCACCTTGTTACACCCATTAGATCCTTAGGTTGTTAATTGGCCCCGTGATTTGCACTTTAAATAAAATTAAATAAGCTTGATATCAAAAGTTCATACCTGTAAAAAATTTTCCCTTCATGTCATTTGCGAGCTTCTCCATGGGAACAGTCGAAGTGACCTTGTTGAAGTTCCATCTTGGTGCAAACATCATATCCACCCGTGGCTGATTTTTAAATAAAATTGGATGGATAGGTATTCCTGGAAACTATTTTTCCATCATGCCATGAGCAAATACATTCATGGGTGCTGTCCTACTGAACTTCAGTTGGACCATTTCGGATTCATCCTTCTGTTCCTTTTCTGTCCATCTAGAAATACTACCTATTTAACTTCTTGGGAGTTTGCCTTTCTCATCTTCTCTACCTTTTTCTAAATTTTGAAGAGACAGAAGAAATGTTTGGCTTACTTGATCCGACTTAATGGAGTGTGCTTAATGTGCAGGCTTCATCTTCGAGTCTCTACATGCCAGATCCTGAAGATGCCGTTGCCCATGGAGATGCTAGTCTAGCTGTTAATGATTTTCTGACACGGACATCGTCATAGCCAAGTTATTTGTACCCAAGTGTAGAAGATTAACTGGAAACTTTTGCCATCCTCACTCCAATACACAAGAAAGAGAGTGGAATATTTTGAAGAATGGCTGACAAGTCCGATGAAATTAAGCCGGAGGACTGAGGGTGTTGCTTGTAACCTACAAGAGAGTAGATCACTGTAAACCCTAACTCGAAAATATTCAAATTCTCTGAGAAATGCTTGTTAGGACGGCAGAGAACGGTTGAGCTAGCATTATAGTTGTTCTTGTTTCTCTTTTGAAACATCAATCACATCATTCTTTCTCGGTGAAGATAGAAAATTAATGTATTTCAGGAAGAAAATAAGGAAAATTACTCACTATGTTTGATATATGAATGCTTTAGAAATTTGAGTTCCAATGTTCAATGTTCAATGTTCAGTCTTAGAAATGAAAATATGGCAATTGGGTGGATTAATCAACTTTGTACCTTGTATTTTTCATGCATTTTGCTAGGAGTGATACACAAATTTAATTGAGGATTATCACTTTAACGATTGGATGGTTCTCAATAAAAATATATTTAAGTGACAATGACAAAGAAATATTATATATAGAATACGGGTACAATAGGTCAAGTTTGAGTTTAAGTTTGATTTTAAATTTGAAGACGAGTTTAAGTTTGATTTTAAATTTGAAGATTAAAACGATATTTGAATACAATCAAATTTTATTTTTTTAATTTGAATTCGACTCAAGATAAAAATTAATTTACTCAATTTTGTTCGATTAAGTTTGATTAATATGTAAAAATAAATTTGATTTTTATATTCAATAAAAGTTTTATTATTTGTGTTCGAGTTTAAGTTCGAGATATTTTATTAATTAAAATAATAAAAACATATTAAAATATAAAAATTTTATTAGGTTTATGAATTATTGAAATCGAATATAAAAATATTCGAATTTGATTCGATCGATAAGTCAAGTTACTTAAACTTAAACCTGACTTAATAATAATTGAATCAAATTTTTATTTAAATTGAACCTGAATAACTTGCGAGTAGTAATGTATTTTTCACAATCCTTTAAGAAGTCCACAAATTAAAGCCTGTTGGACCGGGGAATATAGTCAGTTGTGAGTTGTGACTGCAACAATTTGATGGAAACTGGAGTGTGGGGTTGAGAAGAATCTATGGCTGCCGCATCAATGGTTAAAACGCAACCATAAAAAGCTCCGTGATAGGCAATTTCTTTGTGGAAGCAATGGCATTGGCTGTGGTTGAAAGGATTGTAGGTTAAGTTAATAAGCAGTGAAAGAAACAGGACAGACAGGAAGGCAGATTCTCCAATACAGGTTCATAACGTAGTGCTTGACAGACTTGAAAGTACTGGTCATGTTTCTTCAGAGGAAAATGATTTGTATCTAACTGAACTCATTTCACTTTCATGCATGTCTTGCTTCGTTATTCTTGTCTCTGAAACCACAGCTGAGATCATTTGCTACATCTCGTTGATAGTGAGATGGGATAGAGAAAAATAAAATATTGAAAAATCTGACATTTAATTTAATCGATTCATGTAATCATTAACGTTTAATAAATTTGATGTTCAAATTTTAATTTTTATAATTTTTTTATTATCAAATTATGATTTTTATAAAAAAAAAATTATTAAAATAATGAAAAGGTAATTAAGTTAGTAACTCAATTCCCATTACTAGTTTTTTAGTTGATGACATAAAACAGAAAAATTAAAAAATGTAAGTAATAATTGAAGTCGATTTCAAGCATATTGTTGTCTCAATGATGTGTTGGCCACTCCATGTCTTAAAATATTATTGTATGCTCAAGAATAAACCTTCGGAGCAAAGCTATGGAGAATAAATTGCAGAGGGAATCTTGATATGCACAAGGCTAAGATAGCATCAACTTAATTTACTATAAAATTTGTGTATTTTATCATTAAGAAATCACGTTATTATCTTTGACCAACGATATTAATCTTAAATATCATATTATTATACGATTTGATAAATAAATATTAAATTTGATAATTTTAAAGTATATATATCATATTAAAAAATGTATAATACAAAGTTATTCGTGTCGTTAATAGTTGAAGAAACATTTAGTCGACTTTCTAGTGAAATTATTAGCTATAATTTGTGCAATTCAAATTAATTAAGTTGTGTTTACGAGAGTTGACAGAAGTGGTAAGAGACAGAATGTTGAGTGCATTAATATTTAAATTTAAATTTTTTATAATTTTTTTATTGATAAACGATTTATAAATTCAAAAAATTCACAAATAAAAATTTAATGAATTTGTAACTTAGACATTTAATTTTGAATAGACAATTAATGTCATATTAAATTTTAGTTTTTTTCTTTATATGTAAACTACTATATATATGTATATATTACCAATATAAATATATACAAGAAATATAGTAAAAATAACTTACAAAATTATAAATTTTATCAATTCATAGCCAAATGTACAATGAAACATAACACATCAAATAAATCATTTTACTTAAAATTGTGAATGATTTAAAAAAACACAAATAAACCAATTGCTAAATAATGTTTTTTTTTTTTTTATCAAAACAAGAAAAATAAAATATATCATTAAAAGAATAAAATTAAAACTTTGAGATTAGATATTAATAATTTTTTTAACCCTTTAAAAAGTTATTCAAAACTTGATTATATAGAGAAGGTAAAATTTAAAATAAAATTAAAAGTAAAAATTATATAGAGAGAAATTGCGGTTGATTTAAAAAAAAACATGTTTGATAGTTGATTGTAGATTTGAAGTCTTACGAAGAAATTAGAAAGTAAATTTGACTTTTGTTAGATGGATATAACTAAGATTATACTTCTTAATTCTTATAACAAACTCTTGATTTTAAGAGTTTGTAAATAATAATTAATTGGTATAACAAATAAATAAATAATAATAAATTTTAATCCATGTTAAACTTTAATGCATAAAATAAGTATAAACTTATGACTATAAATACTGAAGCAAAGTTAAGGTAACAAAATTTTTTGTGTGACTCTCAATAAATCATGAATTGATTTTAATCGTCTAAAAAACATATTTACAATATCTTTTATTACTGAGTTATTCAAATTTCAAAATATTATTATAACCGAGTCAAGCTTACATAATACATATACAATGAGAATAAAGCTCATAAATTATTTGATTCCCGTCCCAAGCTTTTAACCTAATGGTTAAAAAAGCTTGAGTGAACATTAAGAGCCTAATTTTAAATCATGTCTCTCTCCTTCCCCTTACTTGTATTAAGACCTTGTCCTCTTGATGTAACCAAAAAAAATTATTTGATTCCTGATTGTTCTTAAAATTTTGGGGGGGCCAAAGACTCCTTTTAGCTTATATTACCATCTACGTCTCTGATTTACATAAGCATCCGCCTCTGATCCCATTATTGATGCTTGCTTATCAATGCCAATTGCCAAATGCTACATTTTTAGTAGGTTGGATGCTGATGAAAGAGGGAAAAAAAAAGGCTATGAAAATAGTATTTTGAGTGTAACAATGAAGGATAGATTGTGGTGCAGCTAAGCTAGCTGATGTAAAAACAGTTGATGGAAGCAATTAAGTATGGGAATCTTCAAAAACCACAAGCCAAGTTAAGTAAATCTTGAAAATTTTAATTAATTTAATGATTAAAATTTATAATTTAATTATTAAATTAAACAATTTTTTATTTTCAATCATTGTCATCCTTCTTATCAAATAAAGTCTCCAAGTGAGAATTGGGATTGTTCTTGCTTCTTTACTTGGAGCATTGGCAATTGGATTACAAAAGACGGGATTTGGGAAATTTTCTAGTGAAGTTGCACTAAAGTATATGAAACTGCCTTTCTAGTAAGGTAAGCTATACAAATCTCATCGACCTGCACTCCTGAAACCATAGCAAAATCTTGTTGACTAAACCAAATCAACTAGAGAAGTGAGAAACAGGACGCTTGCAGGAGAAAGGAATGAGCTATTCTCCTCAACGGTCTCCTTCACAGTATGGTTATCCACAGTCAGGGATACCAGTTGGTGGCTACGGTGGTGAGGGTGAGGGACCTCCGCAAAGGCGCAAGAACCACCAACAGAAGCAGCAGCAGCAGCAAGCATCTCCAATGAGGGTTCTTCCACAAGAGCATCTACCAGAAACCGATAGTCCTCAAAGCATTCAACTGGAGGTTTCTTCTTCATCAGGACATCCTCAAAGAGATCATTATCCTGAATGCCATTCTAGTCTTGCGAGTCATGGAAGTTTCAATCACCCCCAGCACCAACAACAACAACAGCCGTCTCCACCTGATCAGGTTTCCCTTTTAAAACAAAGTCCAAAAACCGATCGTCATCCGCCTGTATCTCAGTCTACAAATGATGATCATCTTCAGACTGAACAACCCCAGAAACAGCAGCTTCCTATTGAGGTTCCTAAACAACCAGAAAAAGATAAATCTCACTTAACAAACAATGCAGTGGTTGATGCTCCTACCAAACTAACAAGTGATCATGAGCCTATGTTAACTTTCCTGATCGGAGCTATTACCATTATCCGCCTCCTCCACCTTCTATGCCACCGCCTCCAGCTCCAGCTCCACCTCCGCCTTCACCTTCTCAACGTTATTGTTGTTGTTGTGGGTGTCTTGGGCAGTGTAGCATCCTATAAAATAATAGTTCATTTTTCAATCACATGAAGTTTGCTTTTACATGTGAATATTAGATTGGACGAGTAATTGGCTTCCTGTTTATCATTAATGTTGCTATGTCCATTACATATGCAAGGAAATTGAAGCATCTTTGCACCCAAGGGGTGGCAGCCAAGAAATTTTTTTTTTTTTTATCATTTTCTCTAGTTAATTTAAAAATAGAAAAAAATAAAACAGAATATATAGATCACAAAACATAAGCCCTTCCAAGGCAAATCCTCTTCCACACAGAAGAAATAACCAATTATATGTACCAAAGAAATGCTAAGGTTTTTCTTTCTGCAGATCTTTATGTTGAGAAAATGCGATGTAAGGCTGTAAGCTGTATGTCTCGTTCTTATCGTCCTCAGGTACCTATTTCATACATTGCTCGGGTGCTGGGCTTCGGCAGTGGTATGCCCACAAATGAAGGAAGTGATGAGAAAGACTCAGATGGATTGGAGGACTGTGTTGACTGTTTGAAGGCACATGGTGTATGCCTTGTTGCAGATAGTAACGGAGAGATGCAGCTTGATACTAAGGTATTGTTAATCTCATCTTATTGCTATCAGCTAATTAGCAATATTCGACCCTGTTACGCCCATTAGATCCTTAAGTTGTTAATTGGCCCCGTGATCTGAGCTTTAAATAAAATTAAATAAGCTTGATATCAAAAGTTCATACCTGTAAAAAGTTTTCCCTTCATGTCACTTGCGAGCTTCTTCATGGAAACAGTCGAAGTGAACTTGTCGAAGTTCCATCTTGGTTTAAACATCATGTCCTCGCCATGGCACTGATTTTTATATAAAATTGGATGGATAGGTATTCCTGGAAACCTTTTTCCATCATGTCATGAGCAAATATATTAATGGTGCAGTCCTACTGAACTTCGG